ACACATCATATTGTGCACAAGAAGCAAAAAAGGTGACTGTGGTATGGAGAAAGAAATACGTAAGAGATAGTWACGACGGACGTTAACGTTAGTATGATGGGACTTTCGATTGACTTGGTGTAACGACAGACAACGTACATTATTCCGCGTGAGATAATCTCCCCTGTATTGAACCAATGGTTGAGCATTGAACAGGAATCCTTCCGTTGTTGACAAATAGCATTGCGATGGGGTTAACATGTTTCCATTTAGGCCAGAAGGAAACGAAGATGATGAAAAATTGAGCACCATTGAGCTAAATCCAGAAGTGAAATCCTTTCCAACCACAAAAAGATTCATGCTGTTTGCTTGCTTGATGGTGGCGYTATAGACTCCATTACCTGATTCAGAAGTAAGTGTCAATGTGAAATCCATTCCAAGGGTGTTTGTGTTTTTTGATGACCAGAATAAAATTGTCTTGTCATTGTCCGAGGGGTCTGAGCCATTAATTAGACCTTTTGTTATTTGATTTGTTGGTGATTGATGTATTGTTAGTAGTTAGTTTAAATAGTTGGTTGCGATCTCTCCTATTCCTGACTGATGTTCTTACCAACTAGGTCGGGTGGGAAATATGGATTCAATAGATTGTTAAACATGCCAACATAGAGGTCATTTTCAGCATCTGTCCAGAGTTTCTTCACGGTAGTATCGGATGAGTTTGTGATTATTAATTCAACTTGTTTTGCAACAACAATAGAAAATAAAAATATTCTTGATATAACGATGGACGTCCATCGGCCGAAAAAATATGTATAATATCAATAATAATGATGAAAGAAATTATATTACTATTAATAGTATTGTTCTGGGCAGTTTCAACAATATCTGCTGATTGTCTCTCATTAATAAAAATTATTAGTATTATAAAATCAATAATATATTTAATTAAATTGTTTCCCTCTACATCCTCCTTGGCGATGAATATTCATTACATGATCCAGGACACTTTCCAAAACAAAACAAGAATCACAATTCTGAGTTACTTCTCCAGAAATTGAAACATTTTCAAAATGAGCTCCACTCACATAATCACATCATTATTTATTAGTTCCAGCTGACGAGAACAACTCATCAACAATAAGAATAAGTTTTTATGTATATGTCAATATAACAAGTAATAATAATAGTAGTAATAACTAAAAAAAAGAAAAAAGTAATACTTTAAATAAGAATGAATCCAACTCAAGTACAACATACAGATCTGTTTTGGGGTGATGCACCAACATCAACAATAACAACAACATCATTACCAAAAGATCAACAACCATCCAACAGTAAACAATCAGTTTATGCACAGAAGAAACAATTGAAGAGAATAGACTTGGATGATAAAGGTAGTTACATATACCTTTGTGAAGACTTTTTATCAAAGGAACAATCAGAGTCGTTATTCCAACATCTGGTGGATAATGTATTTTGGCAACAGACATCAATGGAGGGCAAGAGTGGCGAGGTGTACGCCCTGCCAAGACTTCAAGGTTGGATGTCCGAGCGACATAAGAAGGTGAAGACACTGTACCAAAAGACACCACCCGATGTATGGACCGAGCATGTCATGGCCGTCAAGCAAGCCATGGAGCAGAGCATGCCAGAGGACTGCGACTTTGACTACGTTCTTTTCAACAGGTACAGGAATGGCGATGACAAGATTGGATTCCATCGCGATGATGAGGCAGAGGGTGTCAGCGCCAAGGGCATACCAAAGTCATTCATTGGATCAATCTCAATAGGTGCCACACGAACATTTATACTGAGGAACAATCACAAGACCAAGGACAGTGAGGGAAGGATGCGACAGGCCAAGCTGGAATTCCCAATGACCTCGGGATACTTGATCATTATGTGTGGCGAGACTCAGAACAACTGGTACCACGCAGTACCAGCAGAGCCAGAGATCAAAGAGGCTCGCATCAATCTGACATTCAGAGTGGCCTAGTGCAGGCCCTCTCCCAATCAATCAGATTGATCAATCACTTTTATTTTGATTAAATAAAGACAACAAGGAGCTTGATTGATATAGGTCAATCAATCATTTCCAAACTGATCTGAAGATTGATTGAGTGTTTATAAAAAATATTTATTGAATGGATCATAGGATGCCAGAAGGTCGTTCGAACGACACTTCTTTAAGTATATTCAGGATGCCACTCTGCCGGATTGTTTCCAGTTCTTCCTCCTTCTTGACAAGTATCGATCCAGTGAAGCCAACACTGTTGATCGAGATACCCCTGCTCTGATATATCTTGCGTGGCACCATAAACATCCAATCGCTCGTCATGATGAAGTTGTAGCTGGCCGGGCATTGGTTGGACTGTGCGGGCTCCGTCGACAGGCCCATCATGCGTAGCAGTGACACGTATTTGGCGTGCAGATGGCTGGCTCTCGCTGGTCCATCCATCGCCTCCAATAATGCCGAGTCCAATCCTACCACTCCATTATTAAATGCCAGCTCTGGTATACTTATTGTTGTGTCACTGGTGGTGTTGGTCGATATCGTTCGTCTGATCAATGACTCCATTGGACAACTGTAGTTATGTTCGTTCTCAAAGTAAGGTAGTCGCAGTAACTGGAAGTGTTTATGTGGTTGGCTTGGTTGATTGCGAGGGTAAGAGTGAGGGCGAGGGTTAGGGCAAGGGTTAGGGCAAGGTTATGTTGTTGAGTGTGCATACCTTGCTCCACTGTTTGGTCCACAGTTGAAAAAGCATAACATGTTGCATGACTTGATACACTCCCATCTTCAAAGTGTTGAATGGATATGAAGGAAGGAAGGAATGAGTCAGTGATTTGTGTCCAACAGTTGATTGATCAAATATTCGAATGATATGTTGAATGATTGATTACATTGCAGTAAAGTCTTGATGAGTGATTGGATCGGTTTGGGCTTGGAAGTCCTTGGTGGCAATGATTGTGTGGTAGTTGGACACATTGAACTTGTTGAGTACCAAGTTGTGAGTGCCTGCCAACTCGCACACAAACAGATCCTTGTCACATGGTAGGAATGGGTCTACAAACTCCTTCTTCATCGTGACCTTCACCTCTGAGTCTGTTCCATGTGCAGGTGTCTTGTCAAAGTTGAATGGTCTATGTGCCAGCGCCTTAGCCACACTGATCATGAACTATTGAAGTGATCAATGAATGATTGAGTGATTGAGTGAGCGTTGGGTTGGTCCAATGACTGAATGACTGACTGATCATCATCCAACGCACCTACATTGACACCATTCTCTTGGATAAACATTGGAGAGGACTCGATCTTCTCGATGGCACCTATTTGAGTGGCCCTCTCCGATACCTTCTTGATCATCTCCCACAATGCACTAGTTGTATTCTTTGCCATCATCGTTGATGACATCGTGTTGTACAAGTAAGTATATATATTATCTCTTTTGATCGATTGATTGATTGATCGAAAAATGATCAAGTGTGATCCACGTGAATCATATCTTTATCACGATGTTCCGACGACTTTTAAAGTAATAATAAGTAATAATATATTTATTCTTCGTCATCTGGTTGTGACAGGAGAATGAGTATCCTTGACGTCAATCTTGATAGATCAGGTGATGTACCTGATCCAATCGTATCCAATGTAACTCTAAGTTCTTGATTTTCGTAAATCATACTCTTGACTGGATGTTTGATTGATTGATTGAATGGAATGGAATGGATGGTTAGTTCATTGTCCGCTGTACTCTGTCCACTGTCCAGACGACTGGCTGGCTTACCTCTATTAATTAAACACAAGTTCAGAATGCTATACAATGCTTGCTTCTTCAAACCAATTGGCTTGGAAGCATCGTTCAACAGTGTGACATAAGATGGTACACCCTGTGATATGACAATTTCCTCAGCTCCTTCCTCTGTTGATTGATTGAATGATGTTAGTGGCCAGATGTCCAAAGACTCAAGTCCAAGGATGACTTACCATTCAAAGATAAGTTCTGAAGACACAATAAGGCAAAGTCGGCTCTGACCTCGTTGGTGTCATTGATCAGACTCAGTAGTGTTGGGACGAAACGAGCATCGATCACTTTGAGTTGACTGTTCTTGCTAGACAATAGATTGCCAAGGAATAGACCAAGCTTGATCAATAGACTGTCCTGATTGGGACTAGTTACACTCTGTGCCAATATATAGTTCATGTTTTCCAGTACTATTCCAATGACATCCAACTGTTCTAATAGTGGATAACTCTCGGCTACAGTGTAGTTGTGTTCGTGTCGTGTTAGTAACTGTCGCGTTTGTGTCCCAAGACATGATGAAGTCAACATAACATACAGTATGCGCTGATTGTCAACAGTACTTGAGTTGACTCTAACTTCTTCATTACGTAGACATCAGAATTGTCATCGTGCTTTAGTATCTTTAGATAGTCGGACAGTGTTCGAGGTGATGATACAGTCCCTAATTATTGTCATTGTTAGTCATTCATTCAATCAATCAATCAATCAACATTGACTACTACGACTACATCATAACATACCATTGCTATTATCATCCTCTGTAGAGTCTGATGAGAGTTCATGACTGTTTGATGTTGTATATTCGTCTGAGCTGTTGCTATTTGAGTCACCATTCTCTAGAGTCAGACCATCCTTCTCCTCCTGATTCATAAACACCAAGAATGCAGTTATAGCAGCAGCTGTACCCATTGCTATCAATGAAGTCTTGAACAGTTTCTCCATTGTTGTGTGTATATTATATTGATTGAGTGACACCTCTATATATATATATCCTTGACTCCAAGTCTAAGTAAGGTTCACTTACTCACTCAATCAATCAAAATTGACTGATGATGCTAATGCTGAGTTGATAGATTGTGGCTGGTGCTGACTGGCTGGCTGATTGATTGATGATACTAGTATTAATGCTGATGCTAATGTTACCCGATGATATTTTATCTATCTCTACTCTATCTCTCTTTGTGTGTTCGTGAGTTGACAAGAAGTTGAAATTGAATGACGTCCGATGTCTCACACACGTCTTTTGTTTGTTTTGAAGTTGGTCCAACGCGATGCACAACAGGTAATTACGCGTAATGAATCATTCATTGATTGATGGGAAGAGGAGATGTTAGGTAGGTAGTTTATTAATTATTAATAAAGTTATTGTTGGGGACATCCAACATCATAATGTTGTGATCGTAACTCCCAAGAATGAATGAGAATGACAGAATGAAGATGGATGGATGTATGACAATGTTGACTTTAGAGCTTTGGTTGCTTGACATTTAGGACGTCAAAGAGGAACTTCTGTTGTCCATTGTCTTCTTCGATTGAGGGGATCAACTTCCTTGGGTTGCAGATGTTCTTGGGGTCGATGATCTCCTTGAGCTTGCGATAGATGTGCACCCATCCATTGCTGGCGTAACGGGTCATCCAGGGCACGTGCTCATAGCCGACGCCGTGGTGATGGCTGATGGCACCGCCGTGCTTCAACACAATGTCGGTCATGAGTCGCTTGCCCTCGGTGTAGGGGGTCATCTCGCGCTGGGCGTTGTGCTCCGAGGCAAAGATGAAGTAGAGGCACACTCCGTTGGAGTAGGTGTGAGAGATGTGCGCGCAGATCCACGAGGGGATGCCCTTGGAGTGGAAGTGGTCGTTGAACGCCTTCTTGGCCTCCTTCCAGAGGGGCAGCAGCGACGACCACGACACGGTGGTCTCGGCAACATCCACCCACATGTTGTTGTCGAGCAAAAAGTCGCGGATGTATGGCAGGTCATAACGCTTCTCAGCCCACGACTTGCCCGGCGACTGACCGAGGCCAAATGCGCCATTCTTGTGCAGGATGTCAAAGACGTTCTTGCGGGCAAAGTCCACCTGCTTCTTGGAGCCCTCGAAACCAATGATCGACAGACACACCTGGTTGAAGTCGTAGGAGCGCACGTAGTGAAGGTACTGCTTGATCGTCGACGAGATGAACTCGGCCAGCGCACCCTTGCTGGGCTTGGCGGCGAAGGAGAGACGTGTCTCATCGGGGTCGTAGATACGGATCATGGTGGGCAGGACGTCCGAGCGGCGGATCTGCTCCAGCGCGTTGATCGCGTGCGTGAATGATGGGAAGAGGAAGCCGTAGTACTCCTCGGCGGGGGGGATTGGATGCACCCTCATGACGGCCTCGGTGATGATGCCCAGAGTGCCCTCTGAGCCGAGGATGATGTGTTTGTAGTTGATACCAGCGCCAGCACGTGCGCCGTTTCTCAGCTCCAGTGTGCCGGTGGGTGTGACGGTCTTGAACGAGACGGCCATGTCCTCAATGTCGCCATACTTGTCCGACTGATGGCCAGACGAGCAGGTGGCCAACCAGCCACCAAGAGTCGAGAATTCGAATGAGTCTGGGTCGTGGCCGAGGCTGACGCCCGACTTGCGCAGCTCGCGCTCCAAGTCTGGTCCCATGATGCCAACTTGAATGCACGCGGTCATCTCGCGTCTGTCCACCCACAACACCTTGTTCATACGTCTCATGTCCACAGAGACGGTGTAGCGATCAGTGCACACTGGCTCACAAGCGCCAACAATGTTTGAGCCACCTCCATAAGGAATAACAATAACATTATACTTCTGAGCGGCCTGCATCAACTTCTCGACCTCATCATGTGATTGAGGCAAGATAATCATGTCTGGTGCATTGTTAATCTGTCCACTATATGATTGATTGATTGATTGTTAGTTGATGTGATTGACAAACTGACAACACATTCGTTCATTCTGACTTACATTCTCAAACGAACAAGGTCACGGATACTCTTACCGTAGACATGAGTGATTCGAGCAAACTTGTCTTGTTTGATTTGGCTGACGGTGAGGAATGAGTTGAGCTCGCGAGAGAACGCTGGGTTGATGGGACGTGGATCAGCGATCTTGATGTCATCGAGTGGCATGGCGGGAGTGTGGTTGAGCTGTGTCGCCTTGCCATTTAACATCAATTCCTTTTGAATGTAGCCGAGCAATGATGGAAGTGGCACAGCGGATTGAGTGGGCGTAGTAATTGCAACCTGACCTGATGGCTTAACAGTATGAATGAACTTGCGAGTGTCTCCCCATCCATTCCACTTGATCTGCTGATAGTAATCAATTTGATGCTCTGGGAACTTTGTCAACTCTGGTCTATCACCTGTTGATGTTGTTGCTGCACTATTATTTATCTCCATTATTAATATATATGTTTATACAAATAATAATAAGTAAGATTAAGTGGTGTGAGTATAATGAATGAATGAATGAAATTGAATGAATGAATTGGGACCATGAGACATGTCTCATGGGAATCAAGCTGGGACCAACAAAGACAGACTAAAGTTTGTTTTGTGTTGAGATGTGGAGATGCATTCAATAATTTGAAAAAACAACATGTTTTCCAAGGTTGCGTTCAGATGACGAAAAAATCAAATATCTTGTGTTTCGAAAGGTTGAGGTCCAACCAAAATCCCATCACGCGATTCATTCACTTATTTAGTTTGTTCAACATCATCATTGTTATAATTATACATATAATAGTCATTATCTCATCGATTCATTGATGGTCTCCATCTTTAATACTCATCGTGTTTGATTAAGACTTGACTCCACTCATTGATTGGCTCAACACTTGAAGATCAAAGATTGTGATAATCAATATATCGTCATGTTGACACATGTTGACTGACTCAATCAATCATTCATAAAAGAGATAATGATATATTTATTCACATCGATCAATTGACCAATCACTCAAAGTCAAAGAACTTGTCATTGTTGGGGAATAACTTGTAGCGGTAGACGTAGAGGAGGACGATTAGGACGATGATGACGGCGAGACATGCAAGTGGGACGAAGATGAAGAGTGACCAATCTTTGATGGAGGAGAAGGATTGACAGGCATTGGCGAATGGCGAGTCGGTGACACTGAGCTGCATGGTCATCTTACAATAGTTGCAGTAAGGGTATTGGATTGTGAACACGGTAGTGTTGTAGCTGTCCGATGTCATTGACTTGATGGCGTAGGTGTAGGCAACAGTTGAGTACAGGCCACCAGACAGGTTGACGTGGAGTGCCGAGCGACCCTGTGCAATGCGCACGTACTCGGGACCACTTCCCAAGAACCTGTTGTCCTTGTACACGAATCGGTCGCAGTCCCTCTCAGCAGAGGACGACGTGGACAGCTCGTAGTCAACAGACAGCGTGTTCAAAGTTGATTGATACGTGTAATCAAACAAGTTGAACTCGTAGTTGAAGACAGAGTTGATGGACGAGTCTGCGTCTGAACTGTTGGTCGATGTTGGCACGATGATCACATTGCCAATCCTCTGTTGGACGGTGTCGTTCGTGTAGACGTTGACCAAGTATGGGTTGCCAGCGTCTGTTATCCAGATTGGATGTACTATACGTACTACTTCCTGGTACTGATTCATCTCTTTGATGGTGACCATTGATATACCAAACAACTCTGTCCTTGTCTGGAATGATAACAATGTAGATACATTCATATGATTGACTTGTACTCCACTACCAACAGGAGGAGAGTCACATCTATCTCCACCATATCCATCATCACAAGCACATTCCCTCTTCACTTCATCATACTCTCCATTATCATGACATGACATCAATGATGTATCAGCTCCATTATCTAATATTTGTTTGAATGATTGAGTAAGTGAGTGACTGGAATGGTTCCATCCAGTGAGTGATACCTAAACTTACAGATATAGATTAGACGTGTTGAGAGGTATTGGAAGCTTCCAACTTGGATGAATACTGAGGCTACGATGTTTGGTGTACGGAAGTCTGCTGACATGGAACATATTATCTCATTGGAGTTGACAGAGATAATTGAACATGGCTCGTTGAATACCAATACCTTTGTAGCATTAACTGGATTACCTCCATAATATCCCTTGAACACAAACTTATACGGAGCATCCTTTACATTGTTGAACTTGATCTCATCACTTCCATTGATGCCAGCGGCAAACACAATTGGATAAACTAATGATTGAATGAATAGTAAGTGAGTGATGGGCAGTTGGATGGATGGATGAGTGATTGATGGATACATACTATGCTTGATATTGATTGGTACTATATCACTTTGATTGTTGGATAGTATTAGGATGTCTGTTTGTCCAAGTGGTAGAATGTCCGTGTGACAGATTATTGTTGACTCGGTGATTGAGTCGATGTGACATCTTGATGAATCATCGATTGTAATGTTATATCCATCAGTACCTTCTGATGTATTAAACAAACCAATCAATGTAAATTCATATCCCTTATTATTCTGAGTATATGTCACATTATCAATTGTAGTCTCATCATTAATAATTGTCAAACCATTAATTGGTGATGGGTCCTTGTTCTCCATGGTACTAATATGGTTCATGAACAACTCACTTGTATATATATTGCACTACATTAGTACTATGGTTGATGGAATTATTCCAACCAAGTAGGTACTTACACTTTCTTGTAACTTGTTGAGTTTAGGAATGTGATGAACTTGTTTCCCTCTCCATCCACCTTCCTATTTGTTGGCAATTTTGGAAGTAAGTATGATTGATTGATTGGTTGAGTATGCCAGACATGTTAACTTACAATGAAGTGATGGATGTTGAGTCAAAGATGAGGGTATAGTTTCCACGGATGGTGTTTATGACCAAGTTGTCAAGCTTTGGGAAGTTGGAACCATCAATCTTATATTCACCAGGTGTCAATGTAATTGATGCAGTTGACAAGTTGTTATAAGTCACATTGTTCACCTCCAATGTTATTGGTGTCTGGATTGAACTATTATTTGATGTTAGATAATGACTTTAAAGTATATCATGTTAACTCAACTTACAAGTCAGTTAGATTGGAGTTAAACAATGACACTGGAACAGATGTGATTGGACAATTTCCAAGGTTAACCAGAGTAAGATTGGGTGAGGAAAATGATGATGGAACTGCAATCACTGATGGATCATTCATTATCCTAAATTGTTTGATTGAATGAGTAAGTGAACGAATCACTGGCGGGGCCAAGTGATGTCAATAGTGGACTTACTGGAGATAAGCTAAAGACTTCTGGACTGAGAGAAGGTTGACAAGATTGATGTTTTGATTTAGTGGCTGAGCTGTTTGATTGAATGAGAAGTGCACCAAGTAGGGTAGAGAGAATGTTGACATTGGTAATGGATTCTCTGGTGTATCAATGCTAACATTATACACTCTAATCGCTTGAATATGAAGTGTCTTATTGATTGGAATACAATCAATTGCTTCATTGGCACATGGATGTGTCGAATTGAATGGGTATCCAAGTTGATATTGACTAATTATCCATTTGATAGTTGTACCTAAACATTATTAAAATATATGTCAATTAATTTGATGGATTATTGATTGATGGAATAATTCCACTTACTCTCTGCTGGTTCCAAAAAGTTATCATTTATTTGTGATCTTACAATCACAACTAATAATAATAAGATATAAAATCGATTGATCATATTTACAAAAATATATGTATATTAGTTATAACTATATATGTACAAAGAATGAATGATTGATTGAGATTGAGATTGATTGATTGATCCCCTCTCTAATCACCATCATCATCATTAAGATAAAGTTGTTTAATGAGTTCCATCAACCCTAGGGTCAATCACTCACATCATCAATACATATATATCCTTAAGGGTATAATTGATTATGTATCTGTATTGTTGTAACACATCAAAACAGAGATGTGTGTTCCATGCCTTTGGAGGCTTGGGGTGTGTGAACTGATTGATTGATTAACATTGTGTGTTGTATGTGTATGTGTGTGATTGATAGGGTGAGTGTGTGAATGAGTGAATGAGATCAAAGTCGGATGGATAGGCAATGCCCAAAGATGGAAGGTGAGTGATCTTACTCACTCACTATCTATTATAATTTATTTATACAATGTTATGGAATGATGGATGGATGAGGCCAGCTACTGAACTACCGAACTACCATGACCCATTCAACATCTCATTCCTAACTCTGAATGATAGTCCAGTGACAAAGATACGTAGTGCCAGCAGTGGAGTATAGAGTCTAAGTGCAATGATGATTGTGATTGATAGTAGATTGAGTGTGATGAATAGGTTGACCAGAGGTATACTGCTTCGTATCAATGAAAAGAATCCAATACAATCGATCAACAACACTACAATCAATACTATCATCATCTCTGACACTTCCAATATCGATGCCATCATCAGTGCACAATAGAACATCTCAATCACAATCAGTGATGACAGTGCATTCCTAGTTAGTGAGTAAGTATGATTGAGTGATTGAGTGAGTGAGTGGAATGGTTCCATCCAGTGATCGTCGATGGGACATACTTTCTTCGGATGATGTTGTAGCTGTGACGTTGATCGATGGGACTGTCGTCAAGTTGGATGTTTGATTGATTGTTGGAAGAGGGATGAAGAAGGGTATTGTAGTCGTTGGGCAGACCGATGTATAGTCCAAAGGGATCGTGTAGGCCAGAGGGTAGATGAGTGCCAAACTTGTCCAGATTCAATGCCAGTGATTGCTTTCCACAGGGTTGCGTGATGAGCAATGCATCCTGATTCGATAGATGTGTACTCTGCCATCTCTGTACCAGTGGTGTTGTGGGAATCATTCTGTTGGTGATACCTGATGACGGCTGTGGTTGTGGCTGAGATGGTGAAGGTGGCCTTTGAGGCGGAGGTGGGGCAGGTGGTGCAATCATGACTAAAGGTGGTTGCATTATCATTGCTGTATGGAGTGTAGGTATGGGCATAACATGATGTTGTTGTTGTTGTTGTTGTTGTTGACGCGTTCGCCCAAGCAAAGAGTCTGTTTCCATGTTGTTATCAACATCTTCATCATCATGTACTTGATCAATATCCACGACACTATATAGTATATAATCGTTGTTTATAGACATATCTCTGTTTACTTAGTAATAGTAACTGTATAACTAACAATCAATCAATCATTCATTCATTCAATCAATCAATCCATTTGCACACGTTTGCGTGGCCTGGGAAATCACAGGTTTGGGTTTGAGAAACAATCGTGTGGGTGTACTGTACAGGTGGGGGTTATGGAATCATTCCATTGGTTCTCAACAAAATGATATCTTGATGATCATTGGAATCAATATTAGAGAGAGACGATCGTCTCTAGACAAGCGAGTTTAACAACATAATCCACACGTTGATTGATTGATAATAAACATCTTGTCCTAGGATTCTCTTTTTATCTATTCTGTTTCTATTTGTTGTTCTTTGATGTGGCTGGTGTTGTACCTGTCGATGATGAAACTGATGATGATGATGTACTCGATGTCGTGTCCTTCAACCATTGTAGTGGATGCTTGTTATAGATTGACCAGTCTGGGAGGCATATCTATGTTTGATTGATTGATTGATTGATTGATGATGTGAGTAGATATGAGGGATAGATAGTATTGATTGAAACATACAATCAATGCTATTAGGGTACCAGCTACAACAAAGTAAAAGGTGATCTGAAAGCTTTGTTTAATGAATCCTGCAATCCATCCTATGATCTGTTGTGTAATTAGACATAAGTGTCAGTTTGTTTGATTGATCGATTCATTCATTCATTCGTATACATACACCAAACAAGATGATTATATATTGATATAGCTTCTCTGATAGTTTCTGTCCTTCAAAGTCCTATGTAATGATTTATTTGATTGATATTAGTTAGACTTGCAGCACATGTCATCTGATGTTTAATGTTGATAGATTGTTTGTTATATCATACCATTGATTATCTGTCTGTCTTTCTATCTACCTTTATAGATATAAATATATATATGTACACGTGTTTATCTGTTTGATTAAATGATTAGTTTGACTTGGCGAACTTCAAAGTCTTCTTTTGTTTCAAAATGATCAAATGACGAGGGCAAGGGCAAGGGTAAGGGTTGAGGGTTTATTGAGATCACTTCTTCTTTGATTTCTTGGTTGATTGAACCCTTGATTGATTGGATTTGGATCTCTTCTTGGTTGACTTTAATCCAGTGGACCCTTTGGTAACCTTGTGTTTGGATAGTATGGCCAAGATGTCTGGGTTGGTTACACCTTTCAATGCTTTACTAGTGAATCCCTCTGTTCTATTCTCATCCAAGAATCGTACAATGTCCAAATGATCATTTGTAGAGGCATTGTTGAATGCATTATTTGTACATCCTTCGCTGCGATTGAAATGTAAGAACTTGACAATCTCCAAATGGCCTTGGGAGGCAGCCCCGTCCATGGCATCTGTCGTACATCCTTCAGTCCTATTCTGAAGGTATCGAACTATTTCCAAATATCCTTCTGATGCAGCTCTATCCATCAACTCTGGTCCACACTTTACATCTTTGTACTGATCCAAGTACTTCACAATAGATAGATTATCACCATTTGTTGCCTCTGTCATTGCCACTTGTAGCAGATCATCATCATCATCATTGTCGTCATCCCTACGCAACATAGAATGATCAACATTATTCAATATAAAATCAACTATTGTTAGATGACAATGCCTTGCGGCATCGACCAAAGAATGACCAAATCCAATGCCTTTGCCAACATCTCTCGTGGGTCGATTGTTCCAAAGATACTTGACAATGTCCAGATGTCCATAGTTTGCGGCAACTTCAAACGCAGTGTGATCAAAGTTGAACTCTGTTCGATGTTGATGTAGGAACTTGATCACATCGAGATGTCCATTGACGGCTGCATTATTGATGGCACTCTTTGTACATCCTTCCGATCGATTATAATGCAAATGTCCATATCTGGCAGCCTTGTCCATTGTGGATGATGTGATATACCTTGACTCTGTTCGATTGTAATGTATGAATTCCAATACATTCAAATGTCCATTCTCCACTACAGTGTCCACGCCCTCTTCATTGAATGACATGTTTGTTTGATTGGCATGGATATACTTCACAACGTCCAAATGTCCATTGATGCCAGCATTGTTCAATGTGTACTCAGTGTGGCATCCTTCCGTGCGATTACGATGTAGGAATTGATATATCTCCAGGTGACCATACGTGGCGGCTCTGTCCATCACCTCCTCACTCCACCCCTCATCAACATGTTGATGAAGATATTTTATCACATCGAAATGTCCATTCTCGGCAGCCATCTCCATCGCTCGTTCCGAGCAACCTTCGGTGCGATTTGTCAGAAGGAATTTGACAACTTCCAAATGTCCATTGGCGGCAGCTTCGTCTACAGCGTCTGTCGAGCAACCTGGATCATGTGTGTGGTTGTGAATGTGCTTGATCACTTCAAGATGCCCATTGTAAGCGGCATGGTCAATCGCAAAGTCTGTCCAAGTGTAGTCGGGCTGCTCATTCAAGAACTTGATGACGTGAAGATGTCCAGACAATACTGCATTGTCCATTGCTGATGTTGTGCCACGCTCAGTTCTGTTTGAATGAAGGAACTTGATGATGTCAAGATGCCCTATCGATGCAGCGTTGTTAATGGCTTCCTCTGAGCATCCCTCGGTGCGATGTTGATGGAGAAAATGTATGATTGAGAGGTGGCCTAGCAATGCTGCCCAATTCATCGCCCCCTCAGTGCATCCCTCACTCCTGTTGCGATGCAAGAATTCCACGACGTCATAATGTCCGTTCGCGGCAGCATCGTTCATCGCATCAGTGGTGCAGCCTTCAGTTCGATGTTTGTGAAGGAACTCAACGATTGAGAGGTGGCCATTCATCGCAGCATTGTTCATGGCCTTGACAGTGCAGCCTTCTGTTCGGTTGTGATGAAGGTATTCAATGATTGAGATGTGACCATTCTTTGCCGCCGTGTTCATCGCCTTGGTCGTGCAGCCTTCGGTGCGATGTTGATGAAGGAATTGAACAATCTCCACAGTGCTGGCATGATCCATCGCGTTTCTTGTTGCCGGTGCACCATTGTTATGAAGGAATTGGACCATCTCCAAATCACCAACCAATGACATCACACATTGGCTCAACAACACTACTGCAACCCGACAGAGATTCATCATCATCGACGAGGCACAGATCGCCTACAGCAAGGACTATTCTCCATTTTGGGAGAGGATCAAGGCGCTGATGCAAACAGAAACCAATGCGCACATTCACGTTCTTTTGGTTGCCACCTATGGTGATGTGGAGACTGACAAGGTCACACCCCTCGAGTTCAAGACCGAGAATACTCTGGGCCTGGCCGATCTGCTCCTGACACAATCAGAGTTTCTTGAACTCGTCAACAAGGACCCCAACAAAGTGTCGGGAGTCACCATCGAGGGAGATGCCCTCGAGTACTTCTGGAAGATCACAAGAGGACATGTTGGTATCATAAGATTTGCTCTCCACGACCTGGACAAATATGCAGCTGACACACGATCAAAGCTGGCGTCGGACGACATCATTCACTTTTTCATTTCCCTCCGTTTCAACGAGAAGATAGCAAAAACACGTGCCGTCCCCAAACATCAATACAATGAGATCGAGATGAAGATCATCAAGAATATTCTCATGGCCAACCAACCTCCCCTCAAAATCTATTTCTCATCGCTTGAGGAAAAAGATCACCTTGAGTACCTTATCAAAATAGGTGTTCTTGTCGACATGGTACTCGATAGCAACAAGAATCGATGCATCTACTTTGCCTCTCCGATCCTTCGTGGAATCTACTTCACCATGATCTTTGGAGCACCATCTGTCGATTGCAATGCGCAAATGGATAACCTTGGAGAATTTGTCAAGTCTGTTCTCCAACTCATTGATCACAATGCAATCAAGACAACCTTGTCCAAAGGCAACCATGGCACCGCCATGGAAGACTTTTGGCAGCACGAGTTATACCATGCAGCACGAACAATTATGCCAAGCAACCACAACATCTTTCCAGTTGTTGGCCACGATGAATACTTTGGTCCCATAAAAGTCAACAACAACAACAACAATAGCAGCAGTAGCAGTGGCGGTGGCGGCAGTGGCAGTGGCAGTGGCAACAACAATAATGACACTTGTATGGATTTAGAAGAGGCACCAAAGATCGAGTCTCGACAAAAGAAACGATTGAGAAGTTTGCCTCAATCTGATACTCAGAAGTCTACAGATGCATTGGGTATGATGGACTTCTTTATCAACACTGGACTTGACTGGGGCATCGAACTGACGCGAGAAGGCAATGCTATTTCAGAGCATCTCAACCGTTTCAACGAGGGTGGACTGTATCATCATTTCAAAAACAAGCTGTAGGACTACCTCGTGCTTGACTTCCGTGTTGCATCCAAGAATATCGGAATCATCCCCAATCCACCTGCCAATGTCAAACGACTTTGGTATGTTCTGTACTCCCTCGACAAGCCAGAACTCATTGTGCAGCCCTACGATGGCGAGGAGATAACATTGAAGTTACGCTCAACTGTTACTCCAGCCATGATATCTGCTCAGCAGCAGATCCTTTCTCCTCCTCCTCCCAAATAAATGATTGTTGTCCAAACATGATGAAGATGGTGATGATTTATAGTTTGTTACATAATCTCTCGCTAACTCTGGCGATGTATACTACTGTTGCTTGTTGCTGCTCTTTGGAGACGGCCTGAAGATTGAATGGTATATTGGCTGGAATGAACAAAACAGTTCCCTTGTTGAGTGATCCAAAGTTGTTGTCGTTGTGGGCTGATGATAGAGATGCACTGCCATTGAGAACGAGTAGGATTGAGGGTACTGCTCGTGCACTGACCTCGTGCTGCTGACCGACCAGGTCGATCCTCTCCACCTCAAACTCATCGACGGGTGGTCGGTACACAACAGAGTGCGCCGATGTCTGGATCGGTGCGACAAAAGGTGGCACACCGGTGGTGTACGTCAACATCTTGGCCAACGTGTTGACATCCTTCAGCTTTGGCGTTAGTCCAGCGCGTACAACATTGTCGCTTGGTGCCATGCACTCAACACAGTCTCCGGCGACGTAGGCGTGTGGCTCGCCAGCTGGCAAGAACAAAGCCTCGCCCTCCTTCATCTGAATGTAGTTGAGCAGGTATGCAAAGAACACTCCAACATCGCCTGGATACTGTGCGTGTAGAGTGAGCACCAGCTCATCCAACTCTGATCGTGATGATTGAGACTTGATTCTGTTGACCAATGTCTTTAGATTGTTTGCCACTTCCTCTGGCGTTGCCTTCAACAGTGCCTTTACAGTATGTTGAAGATATTGTGCGCACTGAGTATGATCCACTGATAGCATTATTGAGTTAGTGATTGATTGATTGATTGATTGAGTGAGTATATACATACATGATGTTGTAGTATGGATTGGTGAAGCATAGATGGTAGCCTTGAGCTCAGGTACCTTGGTATCGACAAAGTCAACAATGTCTTGTAATGGTCTAAAGCCGCAGAGTGCCTTGAATGGTGTCAATGCAATGGCGATCTCAGGCTTGTGGAATGAATCCCTTGATGATTGATTGATTGAATGGTTGAATGAGTTAGTGCCAGTCAACGTCTGAGCCATCCCATGGGATGATGACTGATAGACTTACTTGTAGATGTCAGGTTGTTCTTTGAACAACTGCTTTGCTAGTTGTGAGTCTGGATGTGCTTGAATGGAGAGTGCAGTGCGAATGGATAAGACCTTGAAGAGGAATGGGAACTTGGTACCAAAGCGTTCTACGACATCATTGCCCAACATTAGCTTGGCATCATTTGCATCAATGTACTGTTCAAGTGTAACAAGCTTGCCTGGTGTGCTCAGATCATCCACCATCGAAGGTGCAGCAGGATGTGCACCCATCCACAACTCTAAGATCGTCAATCATTCATGTCAATCATTCATTCGTTCGTTCTTTCATTCATATACAATCCATACCAGCATAAGGAGTACTCTCATCTATTGTATGTGCGCATTGTGAATCACCTGCCAACAACTGTGCCACTGTACTCTTGAGACCATAGTTTCCCCAACCATACTGTTGTGATACACAATGTAACTTTATAATCCTTTGATTAATATCTGTTATACTCATTATATTATATATTATATTATTATCTGTATGATAAGATGATGAATGATTGATTGAATGAAGATGCAACGTGTTAATGGTATTACAAGTTTTGGTTGATTGTTTATTTCTTTTGCGTGCCAGTGAAGGTCCGCTTGAGGAAACCTTTGGCGCCACTGGGACTGGTGTAGGTATCGTCGCTGTTGTACTCTTTGAACGTCTTGGCCAGACTGCTAAAGAAGCCCGACTGTGTCTCTCGTTGTGATGGATGCTTCAATGCGTTCAACTCCTGTCTCTTCTTCTCTAATAGTACAGCAAAGTGCTCCACTTGGGACTCGGCCAATCGTCGTGCCTCACGCTCCATGTGCAGCTGTGACAGCAGATCCTCGTCGTCGTAGTAGGATCGCTTGTGGTGGAAGCCGTCCAGCAGCTCCTTGTGGGCCGCCTCCAGCATGGCAAAGAAGGCCTCCTGTGTCATTGTGTCCACGGATGATGTCTCGTTGAGGAACTTCTCGACGGTCTTTGATACGACGCCCAGACGTCTGCGCTCCTCCAGCAGCTCCTCCTGCATCTTCTTGCTCTTCATCTTTTCCTGCTCGAGCTCGGCAACGATCTCCCATCGCCTCGACTCCCAAGTCTGTCGCTCGTCGCTTATCTGTCGCTTGATCTGGTTGCTCTCTTCCTGTTGCTTGATCTTGAGCTCGTTGAACTCCCTTAGCAGCTTCTCCTCGCTAGAGGCGTTGTTGTTGGCGCCGTCCATACGCTTGGACTGCACCTCGTCCAGCTCCTTGATGAGGTTGTCGCGCGTCTGGCACACAGCGTCAATCTCGCGTCGCAGGTCGCTGATGGTCTTCTCGTAGTCTTGCACCTTTTCTGACTGCACCGACAGACGCTGTGCAAAGTTGTTCAGCTCCTTCTCCATGATGTCGCGGTCGTTGTTGGCCTTGTCCACCATAGTCTTAAGGTCCGACACGACCAGCTCGGCCGCCTCCTCCTTCTCCACCTGCTCCTGCACGTGCTGTTGGTAGATCACCTCCTTCTCGTTCTTGACTCGCTCTAGATCCTGCTCTCGCAACATCTTCTCATTGTCGAGCTGCTCGCGTGTCTCTTGAATCTCTGCGGTAAGCTGCTCGATCCTCTGCAGGTTCTTCTCATTCTCGCGCCTGGCATCCTCCAGTTTGTTGTTGTTCTCCATGACCTTGATGTCCAGGTCGTGGATCTTGGTGAGATACTCGTCCTTCTCGGCAAGACGCTCGTCCAGACCGGTGTTGCCCTGTGTGATCATGTCGCGAATCGATTGATTCTCCTGCTTGAGCGTCTCCCTAAAGTACTCCATCTCTTGGTATGTCCTGTTCAGCACGACGCATTCGCTGGTCTTCTCCTGCAGACTGGCCTCCAGCTGTCTGATGGTGTTTTGATTGTTCTCCAACATGGCCTTTTGCTCCTCGGTGCAGGACTTTAGTGATGTGTTGTCATCGGTGAGCTCCTGCATCTCCTTGGTCATGCTCTCGATCGTGGCGTTGGCCGTGGCCAGCTCGCCAGTGAGCTCGGTGAGCTTGCTCGTCTCCTCCTGGAGCTGGGCGGTCAGCTCCTCCATCTCCTTGATGTGTGAGCGACGCACTCCCTCGATCTCCATTGTGAGCGTCGTGCGCAGCATGGTCAGCTCGCTGATCTGATTGGCACGGTTGACCATCTCCTCGCGCATCGATTCAATATCCTTTTGCAGCTGCTCCTTCTCGGACGACAGCAGGAAGCAGTTGCTCGAGAGCTTCTCATTGTTGCTCTGCTCGTTGGCCACCAGCTTGTCCAGCTCCTCGTACTTGTGAGTGATATCTGTGAGCTTAACCTCGAGATTGTTCTTGTTTGATTGCTCGGCCTCCAGGTCAGCCTGCAGCTGCTCGAGACGTGTCTTCTCCTCGCTGGCCAACTGATCCAACTCGCCCAATCGCTTGTTGACCTCGATCAACTTGGCCTCGAGACCGGTCTTTTGATCGAGCTCAGCCTTGAGATCAGAGGTCAGTGTGGTATTGGACTGCTTGAGCTCCTCAATCACACGGTCCAACTCTTGTTTGCTTGGTCTCGAGTGATGTCTTTAGAGCCGTCTCAGCCTCGAGTGAAGCCAACAGCTCTGTGTTCTTGGTCTGTAGCTGTGTCTGCAGTGACTCGAGTGTCTGAACCTTGTCCTTCTCAGCGTTGAGTGTGATGACGAGCTCGTCGCGCTCGCTGGTGACCGCAGCCAGTCTCTGATTGAGTTCATTCACAGTGCTCTGTAGACCGTCCATCTCTGTGTTGAGGCCTGCCAGCTGATTGGTCATCGAGTCGCATTGTGAAGTATAGTCCTGTATGGTTGCGGTGTGTTTGGCCAACTGTTCGTTGAGTCTATCCACATTTGACTTGTGTTCATTGATCTCTGCTGAAAGCTTATCCTCCTCACTCTTCAACTGTTCTCTCAATCTCTCGACGGCATCATTCTGCTCCTCCAACGACTGTCTAGTACGCTGCAAGTCCTCATTCAATGACTTCTCAGTGGCTATCAACGCCTCCTTCAGTCCAGTCTCTGTGTCCAACTTTGTCGTCAACTCATTCTTTGATTCTGTAACCTCTTGTAATCTCTGTTAAATGAATGTTAACGTAAGTATAATTGATTGATTGAATGATTGATTGAATGAATGATCACACTCACATTCTTTGTTTGTTGCAATTGATCATTCTGGTCTTTGATAGTTTGATTGAGTGCCTCAAGATCACGGTCCTTCTCGGTCAATATCTTCTTTAGACCATTGGCCTGATCCATCAATGTCTCAAGTAGATTAGTCTCCTCATCAATCTTATTCCTCAAATTCTTCTTCTCTCCTTTCAATGATTTATTCTCCTCTTGTAATTGTTGGAATGATGCCTATAACAATAATAATATATATATTAGTTATATATTCATTGAGTTGAACATGTATAAGTACTTACAGCAAGCCTCTTCTTCTTTTCGGTTGTGATTAGATGAGGTGCCTTTTGTAAGATTGTGTCAAAGGAGTCTTTGACTTGACCGCCAAAGTTATCCATTTATCTGTATTGTTATGTGTATGTACGTGTATATGTATGAATATGTGTATGTTATGTTATATTATGTAATGCAATGAGTATGAAGTAGTACTATATTATTATTTGTTTATATTTGTGTGACACATGTGAGTGGGGGGTTTAATCAATGAATGCAAGCCCCAGGGTTGTGTCCACCCACCTTCGAGGTCAAATGACCACATATTCAAAAGTTTGAATTTTGTCGGTTACAACAATTTTATAAATTTAGTTAATCAAAGTCGGGTCAACTCTGGTCTAAAAAATATGAAAAAAAACAAAAAGATAATTTCAAACAAATATACGTATTAATTTATCTTAAGAAAAGGTAATATGAAGTATTTAACTTCATATGATGTGCAATAGTTTATTGATGGGCGGCCGAATAAGATTGAATAATTGATTGATTGATTGATCAAACAAATATAATATTTAGAGCTCACGAACGACACGTGAGTACCATGGGCACCAGACACTGCCTGGAAGGAAGGATCCACCGACCTCAGCGAGATGCTCCTCGGCGGTGATGATGGCAGAGTCACAGACCTCCATGGCCATGTCGAAGAAGGAGATGGTGGTTGGGTTCATGTAGAATGACCACTCGGGGTTGTACCAGGCGTCCTTCTTGACGATGGTACCCATGATGTGCTGCTGCTCGGTGACGGATCCACTGATGAGACCACGGGCGTGGGCAATAAGGGCGGCGTCGGACAGCTTGATGTTGAACTCATTGTGTCCATCGGTGATGACAAAGTAGGCGCTTCTGGAAGCGGAGGCCAGAGCAATAGTGACAAAGAGGAGGGCGGCGATAACTTGGAATGACTTCATTGTTATGTAAATATTATTTGTTTGATTGATTGATTGTTGGAATGATTGATTAATTGATTGATTAATTGATGATTTGAAATTGAATGAGTGATCATGGTTATTTATATCTTTTGAATCTCGGTGAACTTACTTTGGTGTCCTTCCTTGATGCCCATTATTGATGGACATCACAGGTTCCAAGAGGTGTCAATTCAATCAAAATCATTTGATGACCCTGCAAAAATTTGGTCCTCGGCCCCGCTCATAACCTCTGAGCGACAATGAAAATACCCTATGCGAGGAGGTCCCTCCCTTCTAATAATATCTTTGTCCAATGCATTCTCCTTGATCGTCCAAAGTTAGGTAGGCAAGAGGGCAGGACATACCCCTCCTTGGACGTCCAGCTCGCGCAATGTCTAGAGGCACACGCTCTGACTTCCAAGGCCAAGTCCATTGACACACAGGAGTAAGGTAATATGTGATGGTAACCCCTGGTCAGGTCACATTGAATGCTCCCAGAGACACTTGTCTTTGTGTGGCGTACAGGGTTATTCATTGTTATTAATATTATTGGTAATTGTTGGTTGTTCGTCCAATTGGCTGGTGCTGGTAGCTGGTTGTTGCTTGTCTGTCTCATCCTCAGTATCATCTGTCGTTGTTGTACTCGCCATCTGGTCCTCTGTATCCTTTATAGTATCCTCTGCAACGCTGTCATCATTGTTGCTGTTGCTGTTGCTGTTGCTGGAACCATTGTCAACAACAGATGCACTGTTGTTGCTGCTGCTGTTGTTGTGGTTTGTAGAAATGCTCTCTCGCTTGTAGAACAAGATATAGGCCTGGCTCTGTAATACATCGCTAAGGGAACAATGACGGTATGTGCTGTCCGACACGTAGTACCACCTGTCCTGCGAGTCGTCGTAGACGTAGGCGACGTAGTGGCCACTGCCCATGCCACCACTGTGTTCCACAATACCATTGAGTCGGTAACGGTACTGGTCGGAATCGTGTGATTGATCGGTAAACGCTGTCAGGTCAAGAGTAAGAGGGTACGTTATGTGCTTTCCATTCTTCTGGAATCCATTTCGCACCTGCATGAACCTCTTGAGGTGAATTGTCAGGTAGGGCGGGGTGTTGGCCAGGAGGTACTGCTTGCTGGCATTCCTTCTTACCACCTCCTCCTCCTGCTGCTTCTTTTTTGTTGTTGTCGCTGTTGTTGGTGTTGTAACATCGGTTGACTTCTTCTTCTTATTCTTCTTCTTCTTTCCTGCGGCTGGCTTTGCGTCCTCGGCAGTCTCTGGCGATGTTGGTGATGTCAAGGGTGATGCTGGAGTGATTGGTACTGCAACGGGCTGGGCCTCAGGAATGGCATCGACTTGAGCCTCTGGCTGAGCTGTGACTGTGAGGCCATCATTGACAGTTGTCTCGATACTTGACACGGTGGGGATGTTGTCGATAGTCTGGACATTGTCGACCTTTTGTTCATCGACCAGTGGCTCAAGGACTTGATCCTTCCTGTCAAGGATGACTGAGGAGTCATACTCTGGTATGATAACACTGGTGCTGACACCAATATCTTCAATTGTTATGCTGTTGCTGCTGTTGTTGAGTTTGGCATTCTTGGCATGTGAAGTGCAACGCGAGCAAATGAATCCATTCTCGCCCTCCAGCTTGTCTGGATTTGTGAACTGCATCAGACAGGACAGCAGAGTGTCCAGTGATCTTGCCTCGGATGGCACGTTCTGTCTCAAATCAATGGCATTAACCTGTACATCCTTGTCCGATGATGACGACGACTCCTTGCCCAGCTTGACAAACTCCTTCACAATCTTCTGAGCTTGTTGCTCGTCCATAAGAGGCTCGGGGTCCTCTGTGCACTCGTAGTTCTCGATTAGGTTGTACGTTGAGAGTTGTTGCTCGCTGTGGAATGAGGTATCGATGTCCTTGGTCGTGGTGACGGTGGGAGTGGTTGGATGTGTGCCAGAGTTGTTCAACAATTCAAATTCTGTCGACACAGACAAGTCGACTGGAGAAGTAGGTCCAACTATCGGAGATGCTGGTGGGGATGGAGTTGATACAGCTGGCTCGACCTTAGTGGATGCAGGTGTGGGCTCGGGTGCTGGTACTGCAGTGTTATCAGATGTGTGCTCCTTAGCCACAACATCTTTGTCGTCAACGACCCTGGGTGCACTGATGTCAGCACCATCCTGAGTCTGGGAAGGCGCTGATTGGTCAGACTCTGTTTGGTCTTGTGTTGTGGCTGATGGATCTGCCTTGTTTGCAATGTCAAGACTCAGTTGTTGTTCGACGATCCTACTGATCTCCACTTCATCTACGTCCACCAGAGATCCCATGACCATATCGTCTTCAGTGGCCATCTCTTGGGCCAAACGCTCTTGCTCCTTCCTCTCCTTTGCACGCTGTTTCTTGGCTTGATGCTTTGAAACACGTGGACCACGTGGTCCGTTTGGTACTGTTGTTGACGATGATGCATCTTCTTTGTCATCCTCATCATAAGGCGGCAGATCGTCAAGAGGTGAGTGTTGCTTGATAACACGATTGACAACGTGAGGCAGTGCACCAGAGTGTGCCGATGATGCCGGGCCGCTTGGCAATGGCAATGACAGATCAAGGAAGGGCTCGTATGTCTTTGAAACATTTCCACAATGGAAGCATGTGATCACGCTGATCAGGCGTCCACCAAAGATTTTGTCAATGTATGTTGGATCGCGCTTGGACTTGGCGGACACTTGTTCCTCAGATATCAGAATGTCCAACAAGCAACGCAGTAACTCGTGTGCATCCTGCTGTTTGAATCCAAGGAATCTTGGTGATCTATTGTGTTGTCGGGCGCAAGGCAGAGGTGAGAATGATGTTGCGCGACAGAGTATTGATGTAGCTAACTTACTTCTTGCTAACAACTGAGAACAATGCACTTGGGGAGATGTGAGGGGTGTGCAACTTGTACATCTTGATCATGAAGTAGTGCATCTCCATTGTGAGTGCCTCGGTGCAGCGCACGCTGCTGTCCGATGAGCCAGGGAGTACAAGAAGTGCATCGCGCAATGCATTGACATGTGTCAGATTCTGCATAATTGAGTTGAAGAAGCATGTGTTGCCCAAGTTTGAAAGACCCTTGACGCCGCTGCCAATTGAGTTCTTTGATACCCTTTGCAACTCTGATGTCTCCTTCCTGCGCTCCTCTGCAAGTGAATGCTCAGCGGTGCCACACATCGAGCACTCCAACTTCAGCTTTGAAACATTGACATTCGTCAAACCGCTCTTCTTCTTTTGTCCAAGATGATATTGACTCAGACATCCCTGTTGTGTTACAGCCAGCCAGTCAGTACATGCTCATTGAGCAACAACATTGACACTCAGTTGAAACACTTACAGTGCATATATATGCTCCATCGAACAACTTGAGTGTGAGTGTCGTGCCCTTATCATCAATCTCAATGATGACCTGTTGGTCACCCTTGTTATTGGAAGATGAAGCAGATGAAGAAGTATCACTCTTTGTACTCTTTGTATTCTTATCTCTCTTATCCTTCTTATCCTGTTGTTGCTTTAGAAGTGCTAATGCTTCCTTCTGCTTGGCTTGCTTCTTCTTCTTATCCTTTGATGAACCTATACTCATTCAAAGGTATGTAAGTATGATTCATTCATACTCACTTCCTTCCTTCCTCATTCCCCTACACCTTATATAGAGTACATACCCATGTATAGTTATAGGTATGTGTTTGGTATATGTATACTAATATGTATTTGTATGAATTGAGTATGTGATTGACTTTGAATGAATGAGTGTGATGGTGATGATCAACCCCAATTCTTTCTTTTATGTGTCTCCAACCCAAATGAAGACCTGGAGCATGGAACGAATGAAGAAGTGATTGAAGTAATGGACAAGAAAGGTAATCACTACCATACTTGGTATGTGTATGTTATATATACATACAATGGAATGTGATAAATAACTTTGATCACTCATACAATCATGTCATTATCACTTTCCATCAATCATGGAATAGTGAAAGAGAGAACCAAGAAAGAAGAAGACAAGAAGTCCAAAGAATGTTGTAAAGGGTATTTCCACTCCTAGTTTATTTGTTGACATAATGGATAAGGGACGTGATTGATTAATCAATGACGTGCGCGCTTACTCATCGGAAACCTTTCCTCTCAATCTACCGGTTCTGCGGGCAGCAATGAGACCAACCTTCTTTCCGGCTGGGTCGTCGCGCTTAGTGGTCGAAGCGTGACCAATGTGCTGATGGTTACCACCACCGTGTGGATGCTCGACTGGGTTCATAGCAACACCACGCACCTTGGGCCAGTTGTTCTTCTTGACTCTGTACTTGTGGAAGGCACGACCGGCCTTGAGGATTGGCTTGTCGATACGACCACCACCAGCGACGATACCGATCATAGCACGGCAAGTGGAGGCGATGTTCTTCTTGGAGCCGGATGGGAGCTTGACACGGGTGACACCCTCGTCAGTGTTGTGGGAGACGACGGTGGCGTAGTTTCCGGAGCAACGGGCGAGCGAACCACAGTCGCCAACCTTCTCTTCGAGGTTGCAGACGATGGTACCTTCTGGGAGCTTGCCGATTGGGAGGACGTTGCCGATGGTCAGGGTGGCCTTCTTGCCGGCAAAGACGAACTGGCCGGTGTACATTCCCTCGGGGGCGATGAACAACTGCTTGTCGTTTCTGAATCTGGTGGTGTCTCTGAAGATGACACGGGCAAGTGGGGCTCCTCTGCCTGGATCGTGGATGATCTCAGAGACCACTCCCTTGATGTATCCGTTACGCTCGGCATAGTCGAGTGCGCGGAAGGATGGGGAACCCTTGCGGCCGTGGGTGTGGGCACCAAACACGGAACCAGCTTTACCTTTTCTTTGAGCTATAATTATGATTATGATTGGTTATCAAACATTATATTAGTTTATGGTCATCTTTCGGTTTCCAGTGAAAAGTGTGATTGTGTTGTGATTGTATGTTTGTTGTGTTCTGTGTTTCTCGCTCTCGCTCAACGCTACTTCTGCTTCGCGCGCTTCCTTTTGATTCTTTCCTGTATGTGCTCAGTCAGATCAACAACTGGTGTTCTATCCATTCAAACATGTTCAACTTATAAACTCGTCTTTCGATGCTGTCTGCTGTATCTCCAACCAAAAAAACACATTATCTGATTGAGTCTAGCCAGTCGTTATCGATTGAAATGAATTCATCGTTTACATGTTTGTTTGTATGTATGTCACCAAGAAGTTGATCGCACCAATCAAGATAAAAAGATAAAGATCGTCTCGCGAGATTATAGAAGTAGCTGTTTAGTTGAGTCGAGCTGAAACTGAGTTGAATTGAGTTGATGATGTAGCCTTGATGATTGTCAATGACACTGTACCTCTGATAATACGACCCATGTTAACAACAAATAGGATGGAGGAGGTGATGAATGAAAACGCTGTCGAGCCTCAGCTCAACATAAGTCGTGCTCAAGCTATGCCATCCCTCGCACAATTTCATTAAAAAAAATAAAAATAAAATCGACAGAACATGAAGAGAATCGACAATCCTTCATTCTCCAATTCACAAAGCTTTTACATAATTACGTAAATCACTTTCAAACTGTGTGAGGGTATATCTGTGAGGGTAAGGGTAGGGTAAGTTTGTGTTTGAGATGTGTGTGGGAATGAGTAATATACAAGTTTTGATCAAATAAACACACAATGATAACTGATCGATCATATGAATATGTGATAGGATGTACATTCAAGTGTGATTGATTGAATGATGAGATCGGTAAGTTGGTGTCAATGTACTATTTTAAGTTATGTAAATACAAACCAAGGTTGTGGTCTATCTCAAACTTCCAAGTTGAATCGAACATGTACTTGATTGATTAATGGGTTCAAGTGATCACTCATTTACTATCTTTCTTCTTCATTATTATACAAGATGATTAAATATATAATAATTACAATAATAAATATAATAATATATATAAATATAGTATCATCAACTTTTGTACAATATGATTTGTAAGTTCATCAATTTGATCGTAAATGTAATCCAGAAAATATAATATTAATTTAATATTCATTTTTAAGATATGTTCCAGGTGCTTATGGACCTTTAGATAAACATGGACAACAGGATGATAGATGTATAGATATTCCTGATTCATGTTCAAAATGTGATGATACAGAATTGGACTTAACATATTGTTTAGAAACTGGTTATAGATCAATATCAATATGTATAGATGATCAAGGTGATAAAGTGGAGAAGTTTAATTCATGTCCAAAAGTTGTTGATATCGATATTAATCAATCAACACCAGATATTGGAAAAGGAAATGCACATAGTAGAAGAAATATTATAATATTTACAGAGGTTGGAATTGTATCAGTATTACTTGTATCATTATATTATGTAAAGGAAAGGAAGAAACTACTGATACAACGTAATAATGAAAGATTAGCCAAACAATTGAATAAAGTATAACAAGTGAATTGTCCCATAAACATTCACTTTCACTCATTTTGTAAACAAAACATCAAAAAAACACAAGTCGCTTCATTATTCGCTCATTCATTCAATTCAATTCACTCAATTCAATCTCTTACTTATATATTCATACATACATTTATATATACATAATGACAAAGAAGAAGAAAGGAAACGAGAAACCTTATTGTTGGTATTGTGAACGTACATTTGATGATGAGAAGATTCTAATCCAACATCAAAAGGCAAGACATTTCAAATGCACGCATTGCAATAGAAAGTTGGCAAGTGCGAGCGGCATGGTAGTACACGTGCAGACCGTACACAAGGAGGTCTTGACAAAGTATGTTATGTCATGTTAGGCAACAACAAAGCAAACAAACAAGTAGTATACTAACAAACTTCGTATTTAGGGTACCAAACTCAAAGCCTGGAAGAGAGAGTGTAGAGTTTGAGATCTATGGAATGGAGGGTATACCAGATGATGAGGAACTGGAGAGAGCAGATAAGAGACAGAGAACTGGTGGTGATGGTAGACAAGGTGATGGTGGTAGACATGGCGATGGTCGACAGGGTGATGGTCGACGAGGTGATCATGACTCGGCACCACCTCCACCTCCACCAGGTTATCCAGGATTCATGGCACAAAACATGTAACTATTAACATTGAATGATATGATGATTGATACGATGATTGACGTGACGATCAGGCTAGGACAAGAACATGGTTGACGACGGAGGAATGAGCGAAGGCGACCAAATGTATGTTAAACACAGACTAACTTACTTACTCATTCATCATGTATAGGCCACCACCACATTGGTTGCCACCTTATGGCGCACCATTCCCACCTCCTGGAATGCCATACCCACCTTATCCTCCACATCCAAATGGTCCACCTCATGGCATGCCACCAATGCCACACATGAAGTTCCCTCCAATGATGGGCATGGGAATGTTCAAGCCACCACCTGGCATGCCTCCAATGCACATGCCTCCACCTCCACCAGGTGTCCAGGGCATGCCCGTGATGGGTGGCCCTCCACCACCTCCTCCTCCATCAACACCTCCTCCACCTCCTCCTCCCATCACAAACAACAGCAATAACATCAATAGCAATAACAACACAATCAACAGCAGCAACGCATTCAACCATCCGAATGGTCAACACAATGGCTCGACAGAGTCTTACAGCGATGCGGCACAGCCTCCTCCACCTCCACCTCCAGCAACAAGCACACCGACATCTTTCACCGTGGCTTCGGGGGCAGCAACGAATACTACACCATCCAAGGCAACAGCGCCAACAAACACTTCCACCATCGTCAAGTCTGCCGCGGCCATCGTGACCACACATAACCAGACACCTGGCACCCACCTAGTCTACACCGAGGACAATGTATCAATGGTAAGAAACGTCATCATCAAGTGCATCGCATTGCAATCAATCACTTCTATATACATCTCATGTTCATGTACATTCATTAGAAGAAGTTGTAGTTGTAGTAGTAGTCGTAGACTCCCTCATTCAAGTGAGGTGGACCAAACGATAAGTTAATCCCTATCTCTCTCTACATATTCACCATCACCATCCTCACCATTATCACCATCATCACATCATAACTATGCCCCTTTGGACACATCTTACCCTTTGTTACCCTTTCCCAACTCATCATTATAGGAGGAGAAGAGAGCAATGCTGCCAAGATACTCATCAACCAAGCAGAGGAGCTAGACCAAGCAACAAGCAATCAATCAATCACATCCCATCCAAGGTTTGTTGTTATTCCATCCACTGATTCACTCACGGGGTATGTAGTGCAGCAGCATCATCATCATCATCGTCGTCATCGTCCAAAGAGTACAATACAAGGTCCAGATAGTGGACAACGCTGGAGTCTGTCCATGGTCATCCAAATGGTATGTTTATCAATAAACAATGTGTCAATAGCAAGAACTACAGCTCCTGAGGTTGTTGCTGCTTCTCCTTTCTTTGCTGCAACTTTAGAGGATGTTGTTGATGTTGTTGTGATTGTTGTTGTTGTTGTGATTGTTGTGATTGTTGTTCCTGTTCCAGTTGATGTTCCTGTTGCTGCTGCTGATGTTGTTGTCTCAGTTCTTCATCGTCCAAAGGCTTCCTGGGCCTCACGAGATATCTATAGAACTCGGGTAGAATATATGACGTCTGTCTGTGGAAGAGGAATGGGATGGCAGCCTTTAACAGACTAAGATTGGGATCCAATTGCTTGCCCAGGCCTTCCAATATGATCGTGCCCATTACCAACGTTGCAAAGTTACTCTCCAACTTTACATGATACTCGCGCACCAATCCCAGAACCTGGCTCATCAGCTGACCGACATTTATCTCGCTCAGCTTACTATGTTGCACCTTGTTGAACACCTCTCCCATCTTCTCCTTGAACTCGACTGGTTGTGGTGAGGGGATGCGTCAGTCTTTGTCCTTTATCACGCGATGCCAGCCGGCCATGTATAACTTACATATCTCTTGTTCAGAACATCTTGCCTCCCTGGCGTACTTGATGATGAGCTCGGCGCCAGCCTTGCCATTGCCCTTGACTACTTCGGTGAACAACTCCTTGAAGTGTGACTTGTCCGTTTGGTCCAACTCTGTGACCAGTCCAACATCCAGCAGTATCAACTTGGGCAACTCCTTCTTGCCATGAAGCAGATCGATACGCTTGAGTGTGATCAGGTTGGGATTGGCATATCCACCAACATCCTCGCTGGTGGAGAATTGTGATCTGTGCTGGTGTAGCAGGTGCTGGAGCTGCTGGGCAACATTCTCGCCAACCGATTGACCTTTGGCATCGCGCACCAACACATTGCCAGGGTGCAGATCTGCGTGGATAAAGTTGTCGACCAACATCATCTGCATGTACGCGTCGAGTCCAATGCGCGCCAGCGTTGGGTTGTATGGACTGTTTGTCTTGATGTACTGCATAATTGGTTCGCCCGGCTCGTATGTCTCGACCAACACCGTCTTGGACACGAGTGGATAGCATGGTCTGGGGAAGATGACCTCCTTGTTGTGTTTAAAGTTGTGCACAAACGTGTTGAGATGCTCAGCCTCGCGTTCCAGGTCTGCCTGTTTCATCATCGACTTGCCAAACTCGAGCACCGACTCGGGCAGACTGAGCCACTTCATGCCCGGTATCTTGCTGAACAGCCACATGGTCGTGTAGATGATTGTAAAGTCCGTCTTGATAAAGTACTCTACCTGGGGATGAAGCACCTTGACGACTACCACCACGCCATCGGGCGTCACTGCCTTGTGCACCTGGCCAACGGCGCCCGAAGCCATGGGTGTCTCATCAAAGAAGAGGAACAGCTCATCGATGGGCTTGTGGAAGTTGGCCTCAATGCATTGACGTGTGTACTCAAAGTCGTGCGAGGGGCAGGCATTGTGCAGACGCGCAAAGCGCTCGCACAGCGGCTTGGGGAAGAGGTCTGGCCGCGTGCTGATCCACTGGCCAAACTTTATCCAGCACGTGCCACTGAACTGCATGGTCTCGAGCAGCAGACTCCACCACAGGTTGTTAACGCCAGGAATGAAGGCCAGTGGGAGAGTGACCAGCGTCGGCAGCATGATGACGCCCAGCTTGATTAGACGCAGCAGTGTTCTCGTGGTTGAGATGGGTTCCTCTGTGATGGTCCTGATCGCCTCTTCTGGCGTCAGGATCTTGACTGGCTCTTGATTGAGCGGCTCGCCTACACCTGGCGGTGTGATCAACATTGCAAAATCATTGAGATGTAATAATGGCAATGTACTGCAATGACTTGTAGAGTATAATAATGAAGTCAAATCAAAGTCCCTACTCGTTTGAACTGCTGCGCTAGCTGTTGCAATAAGTGCAATGGATCTGAGATGATGATTATGTTGTTGATTATGTTGTTGATTGTTACCAGTGTTGTTACCATTATGATGATGTTGATGATGACCATTGTGTTGTTGATGACCATTATGATTCGATTGTGAATGTGAAGAATGTGAAGAGTATGAATATGATCTCCTTGTCGATGTACCAACAATGTTTGAATGATTATAAGCTCTAAATGCAACACTTGTATTGTTGTTGAACCCATTGGTTCTTGTGAATAATCTAGATTGATTGATTGATTGATTGATTGATTGAACAACATAAGTATGTATCCTCCACCGATGGAATGTACATGGACGGGTGGAATGGAACCTTGTAATCATACTGTTTAATGAAATGCTGGCCATTGGACCGCAGGTGATTGAACATCTTTATCTTGCTATGTATGTGTATATGAATATAACATTCGTAAGAATGTATTAATGAATGACAATGAATGAATGAATGAATGAATGAATGTATCAATGAATGAAAGCAATAAAGGTGATGATAATACACTCACTCGCGCGCGGTTATATAAAGTTGAGTTGAGAGAGTGGGCAGCAATGGATGCCACGCGCAGATTTTGGGCCTGATCATCATCATCATCATCTACACCCTGGGGTAATCTACTTCTCACTCTTTCAAAGCCAGCACTCTGCCATCTAAACACATTAACACACTTCCTTGCTCCCCACTCACAGCCAATGCTGACGAGGTTTGACCTGATTTGATCAACATCGTCATCATCATAATCTTCTATGTTATCACTATCATTAACTGTTCATTGTATGATTGAACAAATTCATTTGTTTATTTGTTTGAACAAACAAATAAACAAACAAACGAACGAAAGAATGATGAAGTTGGATAATATATAATTATCTTGGTCCATTATCCACAAGTTGCTTGCACAACCCACCATCATCGGTAAATATATATATTATAATTTGATAAACATCGATTGGATCATGGTTTAGACGAGTATTATTACTTTGATCATGAACAACCAGTGTCATTTAGTTCGATCTACACCGCATCTTGGATAGTTTGTTTAAGATATTTATAAAACTATGGAGTGTTTCAGAGGTTTGCATTCAATCACAACCATTTGTTTGGTTTTGTTGTGGTTTTTGTTTTGTTTTGTTTGTTTTTTTGATGAGAAACAGATGGATGATACGTTKGCGTTATTGTTGGTTKGTTTGGTTAGGCTCAGGGCAGGATGCCCCGCCAACCAATGATGGATGTAGATGGGTGGGCACCACCTTCCCATCCAGGTGGAGTATCACCGCTGGGTGTGGAGACTTGTGACTTGTTGTTGTTCTCTGTTGTTTGGTATGGTGTCTGGCTGGCTAGCTGGCTGGCTCCATTCACTCACTCCACTCATTCATTTCATTTAGATAAACTTGGTCTCAAAGCCCATGTCACATAACACACGAGTCCTATGACTCCTTGTGAGATAGATAGAAACTACATCCCTTCAATCAACAAGTCAGTCAACAACAACAACAGCAGCAGGCCACAATCAATAGACATCATCATTTAGGGTAGGTTCAAGCCTCAAGTATAAGACTGTGTGTCATTGTCTGATTGATTGATTGAATGAGTGAGTGTGTCTCTTCAGAGACCATCACATTATGTTATAAACACACACACAAATACAATAAGACACACACACACACACAACACATAACAAAGACAGTTCGTCATTATTGATCGTCTTTATCTCAAAAGTGGTGACCCATCCATTCATCCAACCATCCACACCTCAATCCCAAACATTGCCAACAACACAACACCCACCACCCCCTCATACACACACACACACAAACAGAGACACACCACAATCGACTTGGACAAAAATCCACATCTCCATCCTAATACTTGAGTTCTTATTGTTGTTATTGCTTGGTATCCTTCCTTTGTCCATTATAACATATTTATATATATCTGTGTTTATGTTTATACATATACATATACATAGGTGGACCTCCAACCAATACACAACAGACATATTAGAGACAGAATAGACAGATAAACAGAATAGAATAGATAGATATATAGAGACATAGTTATTCTGACTTTGGTTGATAATCAATCCTCCAGCCAACATCTTGTAGATATAGATAAACAGGACCAAGTTATATCGATATAATATATATATAGTGCGTTGGAACAACAACAACAACAACAACAACAACAGTAGTGTTGCCAACAACAACATTATCAAATACCATTCAATATGTCAGATCTACAAGGTATGTCCATTTGGCATGTGGTTTGGATTTCATGGACACAAGTCACAATCCATGGATCAATCAACTCGACGACTAACATTATTAATCGACTGACAGAGAAACAAGTGATCGATTGGATCTTTCAATTGACCAAGACAAAGGTATCACATCCGATTTGTGAACCTCTAAAGACAGGTCTTGTATTATGCAAGTATGTAGTATAGAGTACAATACAGTACAGTAGAGTGGAGTGGAATGGATAACTAACCAACATGGAACAGACTATTGAATACAGTAAAGCCAAATACAGTTAGGAAGACCAATCCAAATCTATCGCAATATGCTCAACGAGTAAGTTCATGATCGATCATGTGACAGACACGTGACCTAGTTACCCCCGACTAACACCTGACTCCGACTTGTCCACCCACGCACGTACCAACAGGAGAACTTGACTAGCTTTGTCAAGGGTTGCGAGAGCTTAAACTTCAACCATGACGAACTGCTACGACTGCCCGACCTTGTTTCCGAAGACAAGGAGGCCGTAGTCGTCAGGATATTGTTCGCATTGATGAAGCATTGCGAGAAGATGAATGGAGGCTCTCCGCCACAGGCGAATGGCGCCAACACACTCAGTAGCAGCGGCAATAACTTTACACCTTCGAACAAGGTTTCGCGGAACCTTCCACCGGCGCCAGCGCCCTCAATGTCGACATCGCCGCCTCCGCCACCTTTGCACCAGACGGGTGGCAGCAACATCCCTGCGCCGCCACCCTTGATGCCGCTGAGCCAGCTCAAGACAACAAAGTCGAGAATATTCAAACAGCCGGCGTCCAACGCCATCCAGACAATGCTGCAGACGTCCGAACCCGGTCAATCCACGTCGCCGCCTACCTCCACACAACCACAGACCCTGTCGCCACGCACCAAGGAGAACAACAATGCCCAGGCCGACTTGGGCGTATCCAAGCCGCCACTGCCTCCCCGAACAGCCACCAAAGTATCATTTAGCGACCCGGACAACATGGCCTCGTCGCCGCCCACATCATCATTGAACAGCAGCTTCAACCAGGAGTACAACATGGTCGACGATGACTCGCCCAACGAGCTGAGCAACAGCGGCTACTGCAAGACTCAGAAGGATCGCCACTCGCCGCCCCTCCAGCCACCATCGGGCAACAGCCTGGACCGTTCACAATCGTTCCCTGGGGGAAATGACTCGTCATTCTCCGACTCGATCAAGAAGCCCCGCTCGAGCACCAAGCAGCGCATCGAGAAGTTCTTTAGCAAGACATCGTCCACAATCACAAAGAGCTCGGGACGTCTGCCCACGTCGACGGGTTCGTCGCCGGGCCAGCCATCCAGCCCTTCATACCTGGCAAACTCGCGCGGCACATCCAAAAGGACACCGCGCGAGATCGAGATCGAGGTGGAGAACGACCACTACTTCAATGGCCAGACCGCTGTGTCTGGCGGCGGCTACAACGACGCGCCATACGAGATGGACATTGGCATTGAGGACATGACACTGAGCAACAACAGTGCGCCCGACATTGCACCCGACGAGCTGTCCAAACTCATCAGCCAGATGGAGTCGCTGTACAAAGATCGCAAGATACTCAAGGAGCGAATCAACTTCACGTACCCCGAGAAGTACCGATCGCTGCTGTCCTACGACACGCTGCTGCAGCAGGAGAAGTCTCCGACCTTTGCCAATCCGGCATTCATGGCGCTGGCGCCCAAGGCACAAGCCGAGGTTTGTCGTCGCGAGGAGCGCCGTTTGCTGTCCGAGATCTTCACGCTCAAGAACGTGCTCAACATTGTCGAAGAGAACAAGGCGCTGCAGATACGCACGGAAGAGATGCAAAAAATGGTCGACACACTGATCGTCGAGAAGAAGGCGTTGAACGCGCGCTACAACGAGATCCTGGCGTCCAAGGCCAAGTCGGAGGCGGACCGCGTCGAGGAGGAGGGCATCATCATCACCGAGGTGGATGGCAAGCGCGAGAACATCAAGGGTGGCACGACGGACAAGCTGATCGAGCGTCTCTACAACAAGAACATCATTGGCTCAGTGTCGGGCTACGTCGACATCTTCCTGCTGACATATCGCTCATTCACCACGTCCAAGTACGTGCTGGAGAAGCTGACCAAGACGTACAATGACAACACGACAGAGATTGTCGGACAGGACCCCGAGAAGCAGTTCCTCGTCGAACAGGAGAACCTTGGCAAGAAGAAGATCCGTCTGAGAATCTGTAACTTCCTGAAGCGATGGGTCGATGTCTTCTTCCACGACTTTGATGCCGAGTTGCTCCATGAATACGAAGTGTTCATCACCAAATGTAAAGACGAGGCCTTGAACAAGTTGTTGAAGGCAACATTGAACAAGCAGGTATGTACTGTACAGGAGCGAGTGGCATCAATCAATCAATCAATCACTAACACACGTACCATCATTAGTTGACAGGAGCAGGAATGACAAAGACAGCAACGTTTGGAGTACCACCTCCACCACCTTTATTACCGAGAATACCTATTGTATCATTGATTGATGATGTGGACCCACAGGAGATAGCGAGACAGCTGACGATCATCGAGTTTGACATGTTCAAACAGATTGCCAGCAAGGAGTTGCTGTCGCTGTCGTGGCAAAAGAGCGACAAGGAGACGAGGTCGCCCAACCTGCTCAAGATGATCTACCGCTTCAACGAGGTGAGCAACTGGGTGGTCACGACCATCGTCAAGGAGAACAACCTGAAGAAGCGTGGACAGAACCTCAAGAAGTTTGTCAAGCTGACGGAGGAGCTGCGCAAGCTGAACAACTTCAACTGCGTCTTTGTCATCGTGTCCGCCCTACACTCGGCCTCTGTAAATAGACTCCAGAAGACGTGGAGCGAGATCTCCAAGCAGCAGCAGAAGCAGTTTGAGGAGTTTGTCACGTTGACTTCGCCCAATCTGTCGTTCGCCGCGTATCGCGAGCAGCTGCACAACTCGAACCCGCCTTGCATCCCCTACCTTGGCGTGCATCTCTCCGACCTAACCTTCATCGAAGAAGGCAATCCAGACAAGCTGGAAAATGGCTTTGTCAACTTCTTCAAATGCAGGATGGTAGCAGAGGTCATCAAAGAAATACAACAATATCAACAGGTAAGTCCATTCGTTCAATCAATCAATTAATCAACGATCACTAACACTCAATCCATCACCAATCCACCACCAATCCATCACCATTCCAGTCTCCTTACAATTTACAAGTTGTTCCAGAGGTGGCTGCAGGACTACAAGGTCATAAGATAGTGTCTGAGGGCGATTGCTTCAAGCTGTCTTTGACCGCAGAGCCAAGAGAATCGATATCATATTAGAGAGAGTTGAGTTTGTGACCCCGCGGACTAAGGACTGGCCTCATGACCCAGTCCTAAGCCTCAGCCTCAGCCTCAGCCTCAATACCAACAACAACACAATCAAACAAAACCCTATGTACACTTGAGAAGTAGCAGCTACAAGCTTCTTGAAAGAAAGGATGAAGAAGATAAAGCTATGATTCGTTTATTTATTTATATATTTAACTAAGTATTGTTTGTTATCCTATTGCTACTACTACATCATCCATCCCATCAATCTATCAATCATACAAGGTCCAGTCTCTAGTCTCTCCATGACCATCACTCTCACTACATCATATTGTAGGAAGATAGATGTTGAGAGATGGATACTGCAAGAGAGTGTCCACGTCGAACTTGTCAAACTTGGAATGACTTAGGTTGAGAGTATGCAGATGTTGGAGGATGTGAGCGTCACTGATGATGTATGTGAGGAATGTCCATGACATGGTGCCCTCTTGATGCGAGAGATCAAGATCGCGCAGATTGGTCGTGTACTCCATGATCTTGCGTAGTATGGGCTCCTTGAAGTTGCAGCCGGCGATCGACAATGATTGCAGGTTGGCCAGATACTTGTAGGTCTTGGTGTCGAGCGACAGCGCCTGAGGACAGTACGAGATGTCCAGCGAGGTGAGGCGCTTGGCCTCGGCCAGGATCTTTTGCAGCTCCGAGTCGGTGAGGTTGGACGCGGCGATCGACAGCGACTGCAGGTGCGGACAGTTCTTGGCGCACTTGTAGAAGGAGGCCTCCTTGGCCTCGGGTCCCAGCCACGAGGCATTCAGATAGATCAGATGGCTGAACGCCAGATGCTTGGTACACGACGGCGTCAGCTTGCGATTGTGCGAGATGTCGAGGTAGGTGAGCGACGAGCACTTGGACAGCGACTTGATGGCGGCCTCGGTGATCATCTGGCAGCCGGCGATCGACAGGCTTTTCAGATTGGGATAGGTGTTGACGATGGACTGGATGGACTGATCGTTCGTGTTGGTGTAGTACAGATTGATCGATTGCAGTTGAATGGCGGGGTTGGTCGCCAACACCTTTACAAAGTCATTGCTGATGCCTGTACAGAATGACAAGTTCAAATGTTGAAGATGATCATACTTTGTCAAGAACTGTATCGATATATCAGTGATCCTAACCAAACCAGATAGATCTATTTCATTTATACGTGTTGTTGAGCTATTACCAACTCTTGTTGTTATACTATTATTGTTGTTATTGTTTGATTCTGTTGACATCTCTACATCTCCATCCGTCACTTGTTTGTTGCTGCTATTGGCATTTAATGGATTGTTGTTTAAGAATGGAGTTGTTGTATTTGAGTTGGCACCGGTGAGTATGAATACATCACCAAAGACTGAGAAGAATTGATCGTCTACCATATTCTTCCTCTTTGCCAACGCAACAAACTCCTCTCTAATCTCTGGTATCTCATAGATTGTTGTTATATTCTTTGGTATATTCTCTCTATGTCTCAATAAATAATTGAAACAATATTGTTTTAATGTTTGTACTCTATCCATCATTGTCTCTTTATCTCTTTATCTCTATCTTTTGTATCTCTATCTCTTTGTGTTGATAGAGTCTAAATTAAATTTAAATGAATGATCATCTTCACACCTTTTTGAGATTTCAAGCACATCAAGTAAAGGATAAATTGAGTCCAAATTTAGGTTATTTATTCTTTGATCTTTGGAGTATGTACAAATTAATGATTGATATGTATAAACACAGGTCCTAAGGTCAATCCAATGAACATTATTTTGGTCAACATTGATAATTTTGGAAGTTCATTTCCAAGAAGATATTTTGTTTTGTTATTAATATCAAGATTGGAAAGGACCACAACTTTGTTGATTGATTATTTTGAATCGACGCGCAATAATAATAGATAGATAATACATACATATATATATAAATATCATATATTATGGATAAGATATTCAAACAAGTATTCAATAACAAAGTATTGATTAGATTGATATTTGATAAACATGTACCATGTTTGAATAGACAATATTTATATAATTTGAAACAGTATTTTAAGAATTATCGTGATCGTGATGTACAAGATATGAAGTGTTTCAAATGGAATCAATTGATTACTGTTTGGCTACGTTTTGTCAATACACATTTCTTGAAGGAAAGACAGAGTCCAAGACCTAACATACCTTGGTTACATCGTTATGATAATTGTGATGTTGAATTTGAATCATTCGCATCATATCAAGGACACTGGTCAATCATCAAATACCTTCATCAACAACAACCAAAGATATTCAACACTATGATGGCATTGGACATTATGGCACTGGTTGGAAACATGGAGATGGTGAAATATCTACATCTTAAAGGTGCCCCTGCTTCAATCAATGCGATGGACAATGCCAAGACATTGGAGATGATTCAATACCTTCATCAATATCGTACAGAGGGCTGTACAACCGCGGCAATGAACAATGCCTCGATGAATGGCCAACTCTCAATCGTTGAGTACCTTCATCAACATCGTACCGAGGGATGCACGACCGAGGCGATGGACCTGGCCGCAGAGAATGGACATTATGAAGTAGTGGACTTCTTGCAACGCAACAGGAAAGAGGGATGCACTTCCAGGGCGATGGACGGGGCAGCCAGTGGCGGCCACCTCTCAATCGTACATTACCTCCACCAACACCGTGGTGAGGGCTGTACAAAGAATGCTATTGATGGAGCTGCAGCCAATGGACATCTGGACGTGGTCAAGTTTCTTCAATTCAACAGATCAGAGGGACGCACCAAATTGGCAATCAACTGGGCTGCAAAGGGTGGACATCTTGATGTGATCAAGTTCCTCAACGAGCAAAGTGAAGAGAAGGGAAGTAAGGCACTTGAGTGGGCTGCTTATGAAGGTCATTTGGACGTGGTCAAGTACATCAATGAAAATCTCAAGGGAGTGAGAAGGTGGGGCTCGATTGAAGTTGCTGCTGAAAATGGACATTTGGATTTAATTAAGTATCTTCACAAGGGATGTGATGAATATTGCTCAACAAAAGCCATGGACAAAGCTGCAAAGAATGGTCACTTAGACGTCATTAAGTACCTTATCGACAATTGTTCTCATGGTTGCTCGGAGAAGGCTATCTCTGGAGCTGCATCATCAAGACATTTGGAGGTGATCAAGTATCTCCATCATCACATCTTTGATCACGATCATTGTTGGACAGAGCTTGCGATGGTGAATGCAGCCGAGAAAGGTCATCTTGAAGTTGTCAAGTTCCTTCATAACAACAGGACGTTTGATAGTTATTTGATGGAAGCAATCACATACGCCTCAAACAAAGGTCATCTCGACGTCGTGACCTTCTTACACACAAATCGGCCAAAAACAGAAACATGGAGTGATTATGCATTGGACCATGGTCATCTCAATGTCTTGGAGTATATGCATCAATATGGCAATTGGGAAGCCGAGGAAGCTTTGTCGAATGCTGCATCAAATGGCCACTTGGACGTGGTCAAGTTCCTCCATCGTAATCGCACCGACATAGAATGTAGTTATCAAACCATTGACTTCGCAGCTCAAGGTGGCTACCTTGACACAATTAGGTATATCCATCAGAATTATCCAAAGGATGATGCTACCTTCACTTCCGAAGCACTGGATGATGCTTTGGTTTATGGTCATGTGGATGTCCTTCAGTACCTCTGGAATAGTTCAAGTGAGCGACCATCGGTATGGGCGCTAAGCAAAGTGGCGGAAGCAGGACACCTATCAATGCTGGACTTTTTGTTTAGCAATGGACATGGGGATGACCATCCCGAGGAGTCTCTTTACAAAGCAGTGGAGGGAGGACACTTGGCCATAGTGATCTACTTCCACCTCTACTCCAAAGTCCAGTTTCACAGTGAACTGATGGACGTTGCAGCAGACAGGAGGCATTTGAATGTGGTACAATTCTTACACTACAATCGAACAGATGGCTGCACCACTGATGCGATGGACAAAGCAGCAATGAATGGTGACATTGACACACTCAAGTTCCTTCATTTCAACCGTTCAGAGGGCTGCACATATGACGCGATGGACCAAGCGGCAATGGGTGGTTATTTGGAAGTTGTTCGATTCCTCGATGCCAACCGTACTGAAGGATGCTCAAAAGATGCAATTGGCTATGCCAGAGACGAAACAAGGAAACTGGATATTCTCCAGAAGCGCAAGGCAGCATATGGGTTCGCCCAGAAGCCTCCTTCAAATATCAACGAGCCACTAAAGTCCAAGAAGAGCAAATATATTGGCGCAAACAAACAAACAGCAAGGAAAGTACAGAGACAATAAATATAATATAATGAGAAGTCATTCCATGTACAATATTGTCTTTATTAACTCTTCCCAAGCAACGCCTTGTTAAAGTCCTCCATCGAGACAGTGCCAGACATTAGATCCCTTCGCATACAAATCAGTGTTGCCTCTTTACAAAGGTTCTCAATGTCTGCGCCACTATATCCAGGTGTCTGATTTGATTGATTGGTTTGATTGAATGGATGTTAGAAAGAAGGTATTGGAAAGACATATGTGACCTTACATTCTTGGCAATTGATTCCAAATCAACACTATTATCCATTGGTATACCTCTTGTCTTGACCCCAAGGATCTTGGATCTGGTCATCACATCAGGGAGTGGCACTTCTAATATCTTGTCGAACCTCTCTGGTCTTAGAAGTGCTTTATCAATCATGTCCAACCTGTTTGTTGCACCCTGTGATGATTGGCATAGGTTGATGAGTATTGTATCTTGCCCTGTAGGATTGGAGGGAGGATGGGAGGAAAGTACTTACAACTACGATGACACCTTTTAGTTGCTCGACGCCATCCATCTCATTGAGGAATGTTGATAGGACCCTCGCTTGGACACTGTCGCCAGTGTCACCACTCTGTCTCTTTGACACAACGGCATCAATCTCATCAAAGAATATGATAGCTGGAGTTGATTGCCTTGCCTTCTTAAAGACATTGCGAATGGTGGCCTCGGAATCACCTAGGTATGGCGAGAACACATTGGCACCACTCATCGTGAAGAATGATAGTTTGGAACTGTTGGCAATCGCTTTGACCAAAGTGGTCTTTGAACAACCTGGTGGACCATGTAGTAGTATGCCTTTGGGTGGTGTGAGTCCAAGCCGCTGGTAGGCCTGTGAATGGAGCATTGGCCACTCAATCGCCAGTTGTAACTCCTTCTTTATCGATTCTAGACCACCAATGTCGTCCCAAGTTACATTAGGCACCTCTCCCATCTGATTCTGGCCCCGAAGAAGGCTAGGAGGATTCAGACGCAGTGCCTCCCTAAAGTCATCCATTCGGATACAAGCTTTGGTATTGATTGTCGATTCCCTGTTGCTGTCGAACTTCTTCATTGCAATGAATGCAGCATCCCTGCAAACTGACTGAAGGTTTGCTCCAACATATCCAACACATTCCTCAGCAAGTTGGTCTGAATGATGCGACGATTATTAGTACGAGCTACAGGTGTGCGACTTCAATTCAACATACCAATACTAAAGTCATCACCAATTGGTAGAGTCTTGGTGTAGACCTTAAGGATATCGACTCTCTGTGCCTTGTCTGGGACAGGGATCTCTAACTCACGGTCGAATCTTCCAGGTCGCCGCAGGGCTTGATCAACATTGTTTGGTCTGTTTGTTGCTGCAATCACAACAAGATTTCCTCTGGACTCTATTCCGTCCATGAGTGTCAACAATTGTCCAACAACTCTTGATTCATTGTTTGATGCTTGTGATCTAGGTGGACATATAGTGTCCTAGGGTTGGATTGGTTGAACTCTATGTTAGACTGACTGATTGATTGATTGTTTGACACAATGAAACATACTATCTCATCGATGAATAGGACACATGGCAATCCATTGTGATCGGCCACATAGTTGGTAGCTTGTTGGAAGAGACGCCGCAGATGTGCTTCAGTGTCACCAATGTATGTTCCACTGATCTTTGTGGCATCGACCGCAATCATATGTATGTTGTAGTATGTGCAGAGAGTTCGAACGAGGTGTGTCTTGCCCGTGCCTGGCTCTCCCTTGAGCAGGATACCCTTGGGTGGCTGTACGGCCAGATGTCGAAAGACTGGTCCAAAGATTATGGGAAACACAATCATCTCCTCGAGCAATGCAAAGTGACGATCCAATCCTCCAACTGCTATTGCGCCTGTGATGCACTTTGTTCGTCTACTGTCCAATGATCGCTTGGCACTATTTATATACTCTTCTATAGCACGATGTGATTGGCCGTCAGAGTGATCATCAGTTGATGCATTTGTAATGTTGATTGCAGTTGATGAGTGAACCATTCCAATCTTGATGTTGTTATGTACACTGATGATCTTAAGAATGGGATGTTGGCAGTGACCTCCAATAGTGAATCCATTGCCAACTACTCTGTCCTTGAGTAATGCTTTGATCTGTCATGTTGAGCCGATCAATAAGTTAGTAAGTACATTGAGTTGATGAGCCAGCCATCAAACATACATGTTGATGAAGAGTCGATCGTGAGAAGGGTCTAAAGGCATCATGATCAAGTATCTCAACGTCTATGTTTGATAGGATTGTGTTGAGATGATCGGCAGGGACAGCATGTATATTGATAATGCGCTCAACCTCATTGTGAGATGATGTAGGAGTGACTTGTTTGTTGTCAACAGTGCTATAGTCTTGTAACCAAATGAAAGGATTGCATTGAACGAATGTATCTTGAAAGATCTCTCTGTTTGTCCATACTTGTGCCAAGAACACTCTGGTCGACAGTTGAACGAAGATCCATTGACCGATTGCAAGTGAATGTGACTTTATCAACTGCGTGGACATGTAGCAATGATGATCGATTGATTGCAACAACTGTTGTTGTGCATATACATCATTATCATCACCATCACTACTAGACAATGAGCATTGACCATGATAAGGTAATAAGTGTAGCATCATTGTTGGGAATGAAGTTGAATGAGAACAAACACAAGACTTCTCTTTTTTTATCCGTGGCTTTGTCCTGGCGACAAGTAATAATAAAGTCCGAATTCTCTCTTTATATAAGTGTAACTTCGGGTATGAATGAATATATATATATATAATAATTGTATATGTACTAGGGTAGTGCGCCGCTGCGGAGGGAAATCACTTGTTAACTTACAAGTGCATTTCCACAGTTGAAACAGAACTTTGTTCTTCCGTTGACTTGTCCACATTGACTGCAAAGTAGACAGAAGTTGGAGAGTTGTGGCGCTTGTTGTTGTAGTTGCTTGTGTTGTTCCGATATTGCTTTGTTGTTGTTGCTGCTGTCGGAATTCTCTTCATCATCATTGTTATTGATGGAATGATACCAACGATGACCAACTTTTACTCTCCTTCCTTTGATCACATCATTGCATACTTCAATGTCATCCATTCTTCGACGGAGATTCATCAGTACGGTTTGTTGATATATGATCATTCCCAGGCCAATGACATTGAGTGTGCCAAGCAGTCCAAGCGCTACCCAGTTCAGTACCGGCGAGGTGAAGTTCTTTACCTCTATGGCAATGGGGATATTGTTGTCGCCCTCGATCGACAAGGTCAGCGGGACCACCGTGGCGTTTGGTTGCAGAGTGATAGACATTGGCAAGTTCTGGGCAGTGATACCAATGTCATAGGACATGTTCTTTGAGTTAAATGTCAGCGGGAATTCTACGTATGGCGCATACATTTGTACATTGGATACATTGAGGTTCTCTGTGTACATTTGCAATGGCAGTGATACTGTCGAGTTGTTAAACTCCACGGTCAAGTTTAGGGGAGGGAATATGCGTCCCTTTGTACCAGTAGCATTGGTATCATTCGTTGTTGTAGTATTATCATCATTCGTTGTTTGATGGCCTGCTAGAAGTTCCAAGTCTTTTAATATAGATGCAGATAGATCACTGAATCCATCATTATTATTATCATTATCTTCTTCAGCATATACTACTGATTGATTGTTCATTAAGTGATAAGTGATTGAGTTGAATGATTGAGGGACTCATATTATTACATACCTAGATGATCACTCCTCAGACTATAAAGGACTGTAATCATTAATAACAAACAACAACAATAACTATAATATAATTTATAACTCTTCTTCATGTCTATGATTATCTCTCTTGTTATCTCTATCTCTATCACTATGATTATCTCTATCTCTTAAACTTGGGGGTAATGAATGACCAATGAGTTACATGGCACCTCATTCATTCATTCCCTTCATACTTTATGCTGATACCCTCTCACCTCCATCTTCCTCCTCCCACAATGTGTCAAGAAGGCAGGAAAGGAAGTGATACCCATATATGTATAAATATGTGTTTGTTTGCTTGTGTGTGTGTTGTGAATGGATGTGATGCATTGATGATGTTGACATCCTTATGTGTGTGAATGCATCATTGTACCCCTAAAGAGTGAATGGTATTGATTGATTGATTGATTGACACTATTACTGTATATACTTAAAAATTGTTTGTTATTATTATCAGAGTTGTTGTTGTTGCGCTTGTGATGATGAAGTCGTCTCGTTCAGAATTGACTCTGGTAGTTTCTTATAGTTGATGATACTCTTGTTGTTTGGATTGAGTGCGAGTTGACTTGCTCTGATGCTGCTCATCTGCTCGTTGTCGACAACAGAGATGAACTTTCTCTCCTTGGATGGTTGGTTGTACTTGTTCAAGGTAGATGTGTGAAAGTGTACATAGCCATTGGTAGTCGCGTATATAGTATGATCTCTGCCGAGGCCTACTCCAGTGCCTGGATGGAACTGTGTGCCACGCTGTCTAATAATGATGTTGCCAGACTTGACGAGCTCTCCACCAAACTTCTTCAGACCCAAATACTTTGGATTCGAGTCTCTACCATTCTTTGTTGTACCTGCAGACTTCTTTGTAGCCCATCTCTTTGTAAAGTTTAATGATGACTCAACTGTATCATCATGAATGTATAGTATCGTATCGTTTATGTCAGTCTAACATGTTCGATGCTGTCACTATCCCTGTCGTCTTCTCTACAATGTTGTTGTTGTTGATGATGTTGCGGATTTTGAATCAAACCTACCAGTGTCAACAAATAGACTAGTGCTTATAGGTTGATTAACCAATGACCTGAATAGGGACATTATTTGTATATATATATATGTATGATTGTATAATGAGTTGTAGACGAATGAATGATCAGAATCACATTTCAGGAGTTCGTGAATAAAAAAAGGAAAACCAGTAATCAAAAAAATTGTTCGTACAAATAAAATGATGGTGATCATATATTTATTATATATATGATGTAATAAATGATAGTATTTTATACATTTAGAACTTGATACGATAGGTACCAGCATGCTTCAGATGCTCAATCTCTCCGGCAAGTGGCTCAAGAATGGTTGCGAGTTGCTTGGCAATAGATGGTCTCTTGTTCATGCGATCCAACCATGACATAACATTTGGATACTTCTCGTGATGTGGAAGGAATCCCTCACGAATGTATACAGCCCAGGCATAGACGGCCATATCGGCAATAGAGAATTGTCCAGCGGCAATCCACTCCTTATCGGCAAGTTGTTGATCGAGCAATGTGTACAGTCTGTCGGTCTCTTTGTAGTAACGCTCCTCAGCGGCGGGCACGGCCTCTGGTGCGAAACAGGAGAAGTAGGTGTACTGGCCATTCATTGGACCTAGGCCGGAGATCTGCCATGCGAGCCATTGGAGGACATCGGCATGCTCTCTTGGGTTGGTCTTGATGTCTGGCAGGAACTTGCCGTGCTTGCCGGCTAGGTAGAGCAGGATGGCACCGGACTCGAATATTGGCAATGGTGGACTGACTGTGTAATCAATGATGGCGGGCACCTTTCCATTGGGGAAGGTCTTCTTGAACTCGATCTTCTTTGGGCTGGCATCATTGAAGATATCGATCTCCTCGTACTTGTAGTCAATTCCCAACTCGTCAAACATAATCTTGATCTTCCATGGGTTTGTTGTAGCACATCCATAGAACAGATATGGCTTTCCCTCATTCAACTCACTCTGAGTTGTTGTTGAGGTTGTAGATTGATCGTTGGTAATATTTTGGGGTGACATTATTAATAATTTGATTGATGTGAATATTGATTAATTAATTGATTGAATATTTGATTATTTGATTGATTATTGGATTGATTGATTGATTGATGATATTATGTAAGTTCACAGTGAAGGAGTATATATATTGTCGGTCCATGCTTCCATCGAAGAGTATTCGTTCATTTTGATCCAAAGTTTTTTGTAAAGGCAAAAAATCGGAAAATGGAAGGTCATTCCCTAAAAGTTGTGATCTTCTCTGATCAATTTTGATTTCAATTTCCAAAGTCGTCAACTATCGGGGGTGATAGTTGACGGGTCAAATAATGGGCGACCCTCAACAGTTACACTCAGTCGCAGTAGTCCATGGATTACATGAACACAAACGAACATCAATCATTCAAAATAATCAAAATATCAAAATTATCGATCGAAATAATGATTAATTAATTAAATTAATATATATTATTTATAATGTAATCACAACTACTACAACTAAACTATTGATGATGATGGTGGTGGTTACTCTTGTTTGATTGAGTCGCTGCATGAGGATGTAGCACTACCACTGTTGCTACCACTTCCATTGCTACCACTACCATTGATGCTGCCACTGTTGTCATTGTTGTTGCTGCTGCTGGTGATGGCCGCGGCGGTCTTGTTGGTGATACCCAGTCGACTGTAACGTAACAATGAGAGGAAGAATACGACGGGCTCTGGCACCTCACCCTCGACAATCCATTCACCTGTGCCTTGCTTGAGTGTCAGGAAGTGGCGCGTCCACTTCCAATCCATGGTGTGGTCGTGCGTCAGGTACTCGCGCTCGATCTCCTCCCAGTAATACTCTTGAACCTTGATGCCGTCCTCGCCCAGGTCGCCAACCATCCACTCAAAGAGGAAGCCGTTGAACTTGCCCCAACCGAGTGAGTGGGTGCCGCTGCCTGGCATGAACGATTGGCCGTCCCACAGGTACATCATCAGCGAGGCACCAGCGTCCGTATTCCAACCAGCCTCTGTACACTGCAGGATTCCATCACTACTGTATGACCACTCCTCTTCGAACGAAGACTTGATGATTCCTCCTTTAAACGTTGATTTAAATACAGTGTGTAATAGAGTTTTCTAGAGTATGATTGAGTTTGAGTTAGCAAAATAAGTCAGCTGATGATGATCATCCTGTCAAGTCCAGAGTCCATGTCCATGTCCCCATGGATAGCGTCCAAATGTGTGATTGGTGGTGTAATGTCAACATCTCCTTTGGTCGATTTACAATCTTTGGTAAACGAGTCAAACAACGGATGCTAGTTCAATGTTGGAAGATTGTATCGGTGTCGATAATATACTTTGGTAAAGACACCTTCTACTCTTCCGACGCTATCTTGATTGGTTGGACATGGACGATGGACAGATGGGCTGGTGTATCGATGAACAGATGGTCACGTGATCAGATAATCCAGTCACGTGATCAGATATTTCAAGTCACGTGACCATCACCTGAATAATAATAGCATACCTTTAAGAACTGATTGACACATGAGTCAAAGAACTTGAATTTCAATCCATCGATGGCAAGGATCCACCTGGCCATTGATATCTTGTCGTCGGCGGCCAATATCATCTTGGTGGGGTTGTCCTTGATTGTGATTGAGAGTGAATGTGGATAGGTGACGTGCTCCTCGGTGGTGCCCATCTGCTCGATGTCCCTGAGTGGAACGTCGTATGCGGGCTCTGAGTCGTCCTCAGAGTTGTACAGTCGCAGACGGTTGCCATCGAGCACCACCCACATCTTCTTCCAGCCCTTGAGCTTGCCTTGGAGGCGATGCAAGTGTCCAACCTTGTAGCGCTTATTGTTGTCTGTGCGGATCTTGTTGAATTGTTGGCACTGCTCCACCATTGTCTTGACGTCGTTCATCTTTAGCTGTGCGGCCACCTGATAAGCATTCTCACACGAGTACATATCAACGCCAAACTCCAACAAAAGCTTTACAATACTCTTGTTTCCTCCTCTAATCGCGAATGACAAACATGTATCTCCGCTCCTATATTTTGAGTGATTGGAATGATTCCGATGGGGGTCGAGTAAGTGATTAAGTCCATCCATATTGGGAATCCAAGGTGAGATACTTACAGAGTTCTTCTATTTACATCGGCCTTGTGAGTTAGGAGGAATTGGACACCAGGCTCACAACACTTGAGTGAGGCGTTGTGCAATGGTGTCTCATTGTTGTTTGTGGATATGTTTACAATTGATGGGTTATGCTTTATGATCATGCCCAGTACCTTTGGAGCATAGATCACATCCCACTTCCTAACAATGTAATGGAAGGGTGTCGAACCATCATTAGCGTGTACCGATGCCAAAGCTGGGTCCTTCTGAACCAAATGCTCACATATCTTCCAATGTCCAGCACTATAATGTAATTGATTGAATGATCAAGTTAGTCCGTGTCCAGCACTCAAACGTACATCCAGAACATTCCAACGACAACATACCTTGCTGCGGAATGAAGTGGCGTCCATCCATTCTTGTCCTGTGAATCTAGCTTTGCACCTTTCTTGGTAAAGATCATGACGACATCTGTATGACCCTCGATACAGGCAATGTGCAGAGGTGTCTGATCATAGGCATCTCTGAGATACAAAATATCCTTTGAGTTATCCTTCAACAATTTTGTAATCTCATCCTTTGTACCATCCTTTGCGTATTGGAATATGTTGGCCATACTGATTGTTGTTGGTTGTTGTTCGTTATTGTTGGTTGTTGTTGTGGAATGAGTGAGTGGTAGGGTAAGGGTTGTTGTTGTGGAATGAGTGAGGGGAGAGAGTTTGGGTTTGTGATTGGGTTTGATTGAGTGAGTGATGGTGAGAGGGATGATGAAGTGAGTGAGGTGAGTGAGGTGATTGATTATAAATAAATATAGAATATATATAAATGAAAAGAGAGATGTAGAATAGATATATAGAAATAGAGAGAGTAGGTAGGTACTGTTGAGTATGTGTAAACAACCAACTAATGTTGTTGAATGCAGGGGTGTTGGTGAGAGTCTCTGATTTTTTTTGAAAGGGTCGCATCCAAGCACACTAGTGTAATCATTAATAAAAAAAAAACGAAAAGTTGTTGATAATCATTGAAACAACCCCATCAGAAACATGATGGGGGATCTGGTCCTTGAACCACTTCAGAAAACACAACGACTCCTACTCCTACACACACACGCCAAAGACAATCAATCAATCAAATCATAAATATAAACATAAATGGAACTTGTGAGACCAGCAGACTCGGTCGAATGCCATCCATCCATTAATGGTTTGATGACAGTGGGCACTTATCTGATCGATCAACAACACACCGAGGAATATAAGGAGAGGCGCACTGGCACACTCTACCTATTTGATGTCCAACAACAACAAGATGGTGACAAGGTTGGAACTCATAAACTTAATGTAGTACAGACAATAGACTTCAATGCTGGCGTATTGGATATGAAATGGTCTAGATACCAACAGACTCAACCTATGCTTGCTGTTGTGTTGTCTCGTGGTGACCTGTGTCTATATCAACTCGAGGATGAGGAGGCAAAGATGAAGTTAACACTCACTGGTAGTGAGCGAGTATCACAAAGCGATGGTGTGTTGACATTGTCCTGTGATTGGAGCGCAAAGATTGCCGAACAAGGCAGTCCCTATAGATTGATCACAAGTTTCAGCGATGGCACAGTGTCGCTGATTGAAGCCACTCCATCATCAATCCAGACAACGAGCAACTGGCAGGCACACGACTATGAAGCATGGATCGCCGCATTCAACTACCACAACGACGCTATTGTGTTCTCGGGCGGAGACGATGGCACTTGGAAAGTGTGGGACCAGCGCGGCTCGCTGGACGCGCCCACATCAACCAAGCGTTTTGATATGGGAGTGACATCCATTCACTGCAACCCTCACCTGGAGAACATCGTCGCCGTTGGCAGCTATGACGAGCGTCTGCGGATATTCGACCTGAGACAACTGCGAGCACCACTCTCAACGACCCACTCGCTGGGCAGTGGAGTGTGGCGTGTAAAGTGGCATCCATCAAGCCAACATCAGAATCAACTGGTGACTGCATGCATGGGTGGAGGATTCCACATCATCGAATACACAGAAAACAACTTTACTCAACCTACAATCAAACAATCATACATGGGTCCTCACCAATCAATTGCCTACGGTGTAGACTGGTCTGCATCGACCGGCGCAGACCAATACATTGGCTGTTGCTCATTCTACGATAAGGTGTTGTCAATTTGGAATCCGAATGAATGAATGAATGTGCCAGTGAATGGTACATCATTGATATGTTCATTGGAAATAAAGAAGATGTAAGAGTTACATCTTGGAGTGTTGGTCTTTAAGCGGACCATATTCCATCTGTCAAGGACTCTGAAGGTGTGCACCTATTGATGAGAGAAGTTGTTAGTTGATGTGCCTATATAAAGACACGGGAGGAGGATACATACTTGGGTGGAATGGCGAATGAGTTGACAATGGACATCGAGTGTGGAGTGATATCTTTGCAGAGATCCACGATGAGGTACTTGATGACCCTACCAAAGTGGTTGGGAAGAAGTTCGTTGCTTACGAACCAGCCTAGATCATCCTCAATCTTGGTGAGGGCGAACAAGAGGAGTAGCTGTGGGACAGGTGCAACGGTGTCTTGCTTGATGACCTTGACGGCATTATCAATGATCTCATACTCCATGTGGGCAAAACCAGCGGAAACCAGCCATGGGATTGCCTTTGTGTAGGCCTCGTACTTGCCACCCTCAGAGGGGAGCGAGACAAGTTGTCTAGCCTCGGACAGCTTCAATTGTTTGCGAGCCTTGAATAGGGCCAAAAGATTGTTGAAGTTGTACAACTCCTGTCTGGCATCACCCTTGAATGAGACTGGCACCACTGCTTCGTCAGACTTCTTTGAGGCGGACATGGCATACTTGGCCACCTGCTGCATCAACACGGTGTTATCTCCTTCGTAAGTGGCAGTAATGTCCGAGTCGGACTTGAACTCGGCAATACGGTTCTCAAGTCTGAATCCCTGTCCACCGCATGCCTCACGACATGTTTGGAACGCCTTGATGCTCTCCCATGAGAACAGGGCCTTTATACCTGCGCAGTGTGCGTGGGTGACCTGGGTGGCGCCGTTCCTGTCAGTCATCAGTAGCTCAACCATCTTCTTGTTGTACATGTCCATAATGATGAGGTTTGCAAGAGGGACAAACAAACGTCTCTGCTGTGATGGCAGGGTGATGATGGGTAGTTCGTTCTTGAGATCAGGTCCAAACTGCTTGCGATAGTGGGAGTATCTGATGGCAATGGCAAGACATGTCTTCATGGCGCCTCCTGCAATCGTGGCAACAAAGACTCTGCCGGAAACGAATGGTGCAAGGGTAGCGGCAAAGTTCTGAAGTGGATCACGGAACTTGGATGTGTACTCTCCTTTCTCATTCACGTCGCTGAACTTGTTTAGCAAGTTGACTCTTGGGATGCGGACATTTGTGACCTTGATGTGGCCATTGTCTACTCCATTGAGGCCCAACTTCATGCCACACTCTTTAATCTGGATGCCTGGCATTGGGGCGTTGGTGGAGACGTCACGCAACTGTACAACGAATGCATGGACTCCACGATCAATGGACTGCGCATCGATCAATCTGGCAAAGATGGTGGTGTAGTGAGCGTGGACACCGGCACCTCCAATCCAATACTTCTCGGACATTGGAGTTGGAGTGTCAATGATGAACTCCTGGGTGTCAGCCTTGTAGCGGGCGGTGGTTTGGAGAGCTTGGACATTGGAGCCATGTCCAACCTCAGTCATTGAGAAACTGCCAACAGCCTTAATCTTGTTTCCGAGTTCCAAAAGGTGTTGATGACGCTCGGTTCCAAGCATAAGAAGTGATCCACAGAAGAGACCGTATTGAGCGCCAAACTTGGTAACGATGTTGTTGTTGAAGCTGGAAAAGACATCGGCCAGGATAAAGGTGATGTCTGGACGATCACGCACGTATTGAGCGTCGTACAGGCCACTCTTGGCAATGGCTTTCAGTTGCTCCAACACAAGATCCTTGTATTGCATTGGCGGTAGGTCACGACCTGATTTGAACACTGGACTATGTTGAAGGAATTCCCTTGCCTTATCCTTCATTGACATATTAGGGCCATCAATGAATCTCTTCAAACCAGCTACATCAACCTCCTTTATAACACTTTGTATCTTTGTACCATCACCCAATACAATATTAATATCCTTATCTCCAACAACAGTACTTGGTTCTGTTGCTGTTAAGTGTCTAGTTATCTATAAGTTGGTAAGGGCAATTGAGTTAGTATATGATTGATTGATTGAATGAGTTAGAATGAGTGTAATTTATATATTGAACTCACATTCTCAATCCTTCTATTATACATGATTATAATATATATATGTAGTAATATGTATATATATGTACAACTTAACTAAATGAATGTATGAATGAATGAATTAATGAAGCAATCAATCAGTTTAGGATGTGAAAGATTGAATGACCTTCAAAGTATCTCAACCTTTCGCGTCATAGACTTCCCTTTCTGGTTCACTTCCAATCAAACACAACACCACCATTTCAAGCAAAGTGATCTTTTTGATGTGAAGAGTAAGTTGTACCTCTCAATTAGTGTTCATTTAAACATAGAGAGATAAAGTAATATATATATATATATAATAATGATTTACAATATATATATATTTAACAAGAGTGGAGTTTGTATATATTACGAAGAATGGAATAGGAAGAAACCTTCTTCAAACTTGGCAGAGGAACAGAAACTACTATTTGGTATGCTCTACTCTCTAAAGTCATTCCTATCAAAGAGTTCACCAAGGCCGTATGTATAGAGACAACAACATACAAAGAAGACAAACATACTGACATTGGAGATGAATTTAGAATGGACCCAAGTACAGCGTTTCATTGCTTCAAGACAACGACATATAAGCTACACTTTTATGAGACATTGTCTTCTGTAAAGTTCATTATATTGACAGATCCCAATACACCTGACTTGCGAGATGAGTTAAAGAAGGTCTATAGTACAGTGTTTATAGACTATGTCATCAAGAATCCATTATACGAACCAAACTCTATCATCAAATGCGAACTGTTCATCACTCACTTGAATCAAATGATCAAGCAGATCCCTTATTACAACATCAACTAGTGTGATCACAGCATCATTGCATGGCATGGCATAGACTAGATCACCCAAGATATTTGTAACAATAACAACAACTACCCTCATTCAATAATCACTCTCTCCCTCAATCACTCATTCACTCATTCACTCACTCACTAACTTTCGATTGATTGATGGACGGATAATGTTATTGATCAATAGAATACAGGGACGATGACAACTTAGAATAGTTGGACGAGGAATGAAGTTGTACCATCAGAGTGTGTTCGGTTTCCAGCGGTAGCGATGGCTGCACGACATAGTGGACAGGTCTTCTCGCGCTCGAACCACTGCGAGACGCAGTCCTCGCAAAAGACATGGTCACAGCGCAGTACGATTGGTGAGACCATCTTCTCCTGACAGATGGCGCAGAGGTCGTCGACGGCGGCCACCTGCTCCTTTGTCGCCTTGTGTCCATAGAGCACCTCGTGCAGGATAAAGGCACGAGCCGTCTGGAACCATTGCTTGCTGCGCTCCACCAAATGAGTGATCTTGAACGTGAAGTAAAGGCCAACCATCAGTGAGCCCAAGATATGCTCGCCATCATCGTGCAGCGAGTGGAAGTACTTGGACCAAATTGAGATGGGCAACAAACAACGATACAAATGTGATGTGACTTCAATCACTGTATACAGTTGTGCTCTTCTCTTGTGTGGAGGCTTGTGACCAATGACAATGACACACAATGCCTTAACAATCATTGTGATGAATCGTACCATGAAGTCTACAAAAGATTGATGAATGTTAGATGAGGAAGTGATGATCAGACTCGGCATCTGAACACTTACCATTGAGTACAGCAACCCAAAAGGCAGAGTATATATCGATTGGAATACGTGGGGAGAGCATTATTAGTGATCTCCAAAGCTCGCTTGATCCAAAGAATAAATAGGTAGTAGCAATATTGCTTGAGAGTATCACTATCAACCATGAGAGTACTCCAACGTTCCTCTTGTCCTGTGATTATGGTGAACAATGTAAGTATGATTGATTTTCGACATGATGTGTCTGATGATACAAGACATACCTGAAGAGCAACTTGAGTTTTCAGAGCTTGATTGGCTTGAGTAAAGACTGCTTGCTGCCATAAGAACATCAGGATACCTTGACGATGTTTGTATAAGAAGATTACCAAAAGGATGATCATGAATGGGTAGCTCTGCTCCAACCATTTGATCACATAGTGCATGTCCAGTCGCGTTGATGAGCCTGTCGTCTGTTGAGTACCATCGTTGAATGTGTTGTTGTTGATGTTGATGTTGACGTTGTTGTTGGCACCGCCACCGCCGCTAGCTGCCGCTGTGTTGGTCGTGGTGGTTGTTGTTGTATGTAGACCGAGCTCCAAGTCGGTGTCTATGTTCTGTGATACATTGTTGTTGGACTGGTTTAAGTTGTTGCTGTCTCCATCATCACTGTTAAAGAATGATTGAGTCAAAGAATGTCCTCGTTGACTGAGTAGCTGTCCCATTGTAGATGATGGAGATGACAAGAATGAACGATAGAGTGATCCAGATGACGGCCCTGATGAAGTCGACGTCGATGTTGTATTCTCTCCATCTGAACTACTACTATTATTATTGTTATTGAATGAAGACATCATATTTACAAGATGATTATTTGTGCTATTTAACATGTTTGAGCTACCATTCAATATATTATGTGTTGTTGTTGTATGAGTATGAGTATGTGGATGTTGATGTTGATGTGGATGTGGATGTGGATGTACTGTTGAGTATGAGGGAGTTGTTGTTGTTGTTGTTGATGTTGATGTTGATGATGAAGTCAAAGTAGGTATTAATGAGTTTGTCAATGATCCATTATCATTATCATCATCCTCTTCATGATCATTCTGTATTCGTATTGATACCTCCATCAATATATATATATGTATACTATACTATCTTGTAATATATATATATATATTATATGTTTATGATGTGAATGAATGAAGTAATAATTGATTGTTTGAGTTGAACAAAGTGTGAGTCACCTCATTCCCCATCCCATTTCCCCAAGTTTGAGGTCATGAGGGGTGCCAACTTGCACAAAGTAGTTTGTTTGAAAGCAAACAGATATTTCACTCATTCACTCTCTTGATGATAATTATTACAAGTAATAAGTTAAGTAAAGTTTAATTAATACCATCATATTGGTAATGTGTTGAAGAGGATGATGACGACTCGGCAATGTAGTGAATACTAGTTGTGTTGTCAATTGGTTGATATTGTGTTGTTACATTCCTTCTTTGATACCTTCGATAGAGTACAAAGATCATTCCAGTTAGTCCAACTGCTCCAACAACAGAACCAAGTACAATTGCAATTATAAAGCCAATCTCATCGCCCTTGTCTCCATCGTCATTATCATTATCATAGCACATATTGTTGGCACTGTTACCTGTCACTAGACATGTGTAGTCGTCGTCATTGTCGCCAAACAAGTGACTGCCATCATCGTCTTGTGTCTGGCAATAGACAAACTTGTTGGTATTCGTGTCGGTGGTGACGTTGTTGAGCGAAAGAGATGACTCGTCGCAGTAGATGGATGAGTTGGTTGTTGTTCCAAAGTTGCTGTCCATCGTTACCGAGGACAAGTTGACAGAGATGATCGATTCATCAATGTATATGGCTCCGCCAACACTCGCACTATTGTACGATATGTCACAGTCAGAGATGTAGCTAGAGTATGGATTGCTGAAGAATATAGCCCCTCCCTGGTCTGCCGTGTTATAGTAGAATGTAGTGTTGGTGATGTAGGAGCGAGTATAGTCGGCTAACATTAGCGCACCACCTGTAGTACCGACGTTGTTGGAGAATTCACAGTCAGAGATATCGATCTGGTTGTTGGAGCGTTCAATGTCCTCGGCCTGTATAACTGGTCCACCAGTGTTGGCAAGGAATGAGCTGTTGGACACTACCACGTCGCAGCTCAGCGAGCGAATCAAGCCGGCAGATCGCATGTTTAGGTTGTCGACAAAGGTGATGTTGTTCAATATAAGTTGGTTGGCACAGTAGGCGAAGGAGAGGATGCCAGTGGCACCAGAGTTGTTGATGAGGGTGACGTTGACAAACTGTGTGCTGTCGTTGGCTGACACAAAGACACCATAGGACAATGCTTGGTTACGCACAAACAACGAGTTGGAGACGTTGAGTAACGCGCCACGCTCAGTGTTGTAGTATACGGCACCGGATATCTCGGCCACATTACTATCAAACACTGAACCCTTGATGTCCACGATGTTCTTTAGGGGCACTGTCGAGTCGAGGTAGAGGACTGCGCCACGATCAGCATTGTTGCCAGTGCAGTTGGAATCGATGAATGAGACGTAGGAAGGAGTGAACGCTGTGATGACCGAGACCACACCTCCAGAGGAATGGTTACCATTGATAAAGGTAAGGTTGTGCAAGTGTAACTTGGTGCGATCAAACATTAGAGTGTTTGGAGGCTCCTGGATCGAGGCAAACTGGCCTTGTGACTGCATGTCGATGATTGATTCGCCAGGCGTGCCAACAACTGTGACATTGATGTTGAATATGATCAAGTTGGTATTGTTTCCAGAGCCGACGTAAGTACCTGGGGCAAGGTATAGGTACAGCTCAGTGGTACTGTTCAACACAACGTTGTATGCAGACAAGGCGGCAGAGATGTGTGAGCAGGGTGAAGTGTCGTTTCCACATGTGTTGGATACATCGTTTGATGAAGGATCAACATTAAGTGACACTATAACCTGTGCATTTATAAATGATGTAGTTGAGAATGTCAACAACAATGTACTTATTATTATTATTAATGTTACAGATAATTGATTTCTATTTATATACATTATTATTTGTTGTTGAATTGTTATGAGATATTGTAAGTACGAATACGTTGATCTTATTGATAAGCTCTAATACTGTTTCCTCAATCCCTCTAACTCTTCTCCATTCTATGATTGACCCGATAACGGTCTTTGTAAAGGAACCAATTACCAAACTGGCCGAGATATTTGTGTTGTACACATTCATCTTTAGAAATATCTGTTCAAGTTAGTTTCGAAATCGGTTTCAAATCATCAATGATCCCGCACAATGAATAATCCAAGGATAAGTTCATCACGAGTGAAGGTAGTCAAAAGGAACTATAAGTAGAAGAAGGAAAGAAACCAGGTTTATGTACATGCTGCAATTGATTGCTCCCAATCAATTAGTCAATCAATCAATCCCAAACTCTATTTGGGAACAAAGTAGGTCCAACTAGTGTCCAGAAGTAAAGTATGTGGACACACCAACAACTGACAATCTTGACCCAGACTGATACCATTCCAGAGTCGACGTTAAGATTGCCATTGTTGTCAAGACCAGAGATAGTGGACCAATTGGTGAGTAGCATACCAATGTACATAGCACCCAAAGCGAATGTTATGTGGAAGAATGAGTAGTTGTAGGCAACTCCATCTTTCTCATCATCATCCATCTCTGAACCCATGATATGACCCTCTCCATCGTCATCGTCTTGCACCGATGATGAGTTGATTGTTGGTAGGCTTGAGTAACTTGATCCAGAATCAGATCTACCAAGTACGTCGTTGGAGTCTGATGCTCTAAAGGCTGAATAACAGACCGAGATGATAGTGAACACAGCACCAATGACTATCTGTGGTGTCTTTGGGTCGCCAGTCATAGCTGGCTCACTCATTATAGCACTGAATACAAGGTAAGCAGCGTAGAACATAACTACACCCGATTGTAGTAGTCCTGATGATGGTCTATGTTCTCTTATCTGTTTGTAACGTAATGAATGAATGATTAGTATTATACCAAAGACGATTATGATCAACTCTCGTTTACCTACCCTTTCATTGATAGATAGTACTCCAATGATAAATGATAGAGCCATGTTAAAGACAATGAAGAATTGGTTCAACTGGGATGTCTTGCTCCAAAGGACTAACATAACAATTGATAGTGCCAATGCCAATATGATTGATCCGAATGTGAATACGATGAGCAGGACATAGTATCTGTTGGTGATGTGACCTTCGTCCTCCAACTTCTCCACCCATCTCTGGTTGATACTGTAGGCAAACTCAATGAGCAGTACCAATTGGATGAGGATAAAGAAGGCGGCACCACCAAGAGATACCCAGCCATAGTATTGGAAGAATTTGTTTGGTATAAAGAATGATACTACTGATAATGTAGCCAGTGCCAACAGTTTGACAGGCCAGTATCCATCTTGAATGACGGCTCTTGATTCGGACGAGCTCTTTACACCAATCAACATCATCGCCAGCAATAAATGATACATTGCCAATGAGAATGTAAGTCTATATACAACCAATGATCCATAACATTCATTATCGGAGCGTTCACATAATTTGAAGAAGTCAATATCCTTGAACCATGTTGAAGACCATGAACCAAACACATAAGACAAAGTAGCAGATAACAAGAATACCAAAAGATATATAACTCTTGTACCAGTACTCTTTCTAATGATTGTTCCGAAACATGAACAACCTTTGTTTGTTTACACAAAGTTAGTTGACAATGTCGTATTATTGAATGAATGAATGGATAGAGCATTCCTTACCTGCACAACAGACTAATGTTCCACAAGCTAATATTCCACACATTTATAGAATATTTGTCAATCAATCAATTCCTAATATAACAAGTAATAATAATAAATATATATATTTGTATGGTAAGAGTAGTATGGATGTGAATGAGTAAATTGGCTTCGTGTCAAGGTTGAGTGTCAACCCTTCTCCCTCAAGCGAATACCCCCACCATATCTTAATTGTTTGGAATTCCAAATTGAAGTTCATGTGCTCATCAAACTTTAATGAGATGGTGGTGAAAAGGGGGTGTTTGCTTGTTCTCAAGCATCATCAGTTCATTCTTCAAATGAGCCGAAAGGTATAAATACTCGGTCCATGGACAGTTACTGAGCCAACAAAGGGTCTTCCAGTCATCAATATACATACACTTACTCATATCATTCAATCAATCAATCTATATATATATATAATACTACTTAGATAGACAGAACAATGTCTAGACTTGAAAGATTGTTCACTTTGTTAGAGACTGGTAGTAACCCTGCGATACGTAAAGCTGCTGCACAACAGATTGGTGAAGTGCAAAGGTTACATCCTCATGATTTACAGTCATTGTTGGATAATCTACATCCTAGATTGTTACATAAGGAATGGGATACACGTGTTGCTGCGGGTCATGCCATTGAAGCCGTAGCTTCAAACGTCCCTTTATGGACACCTGTTTATCGTAGTGAAGAAGAAGGCAATGGTGGCGAGTCATCTACATTGTCATCATCATTGATCACTGATCAACAGTTTGATCTACAATTTGACAACTTTGACATTGCAAAGGTGTTGGCTAACGGTAGTCTACTTCTGGCAAGCGGTGGCCAGGAGTTTGAGCCAGATGCTGCACCGCCTGGCACCGACCCAAAGGAACTGCTCAAGATACAAAAGAGGAAGATTAAGAAGAAGCTTGGACTGGACGATATCACATCAAATGGGATGGAGCTGATCGACGATGACGATCTGCTGGTCAACCCAGTGGTCAAGCAAGAGGCGGCAGACGAGCGCAAGGACATAAGCACAGTGCTCGACACGACAGGAATGAGTGCACGCGAGCGCAACAAGGCCAAGCGCAAGGCAAAGACCTCATTGCGCGAGAGCACACAGGCACAACCAACCAAGCGATACAAGGATCTCAACAGCAGCTCGGATGCACTACGCAAGTCGACCAAACAACACATAACCGAGCAACCCCAGAACTCTGGTGTCATCGTTCTCGAATCCGTACTCGATGTTGACAAGGCCTACAATCAAGACGAGTGGCCATTCACTGCACTCTACGAAGATCTCCTCATTGCCCTGTTCAGGTAAGTACCAGCCAGGGAGCATAATCTAGCACGGACTGTCATTAACCAAACGATCAATCATACAGTCCACAATGGGAGATGAGACATGGAGCAGCCGTTGGACTTAGAGAACTATTCAGGAAGCATGGCAAAGGTGGTGGCATCACAGTATTCACAAAGCCAGAGCTTATCGAAACCATCAACACACTCTGGCTCGAAGACTTTGCCATCAGACTTCTCTGTGTGATTGCCCTGGACAGGTTTGGTGACTTTGTATCCGATCAGGTATGTCCAATCAATCAATCAATCAATCTCGCAGCCTCACTCACTCACTCACTTAATCAATCAAGGTTGTCGCACCTGTTAGAGAGACCTGTGCACAGGTACTTGGACTTGTTGTGAAGTTTATGACACCAGAGAGTGTGATGAAGGTGTTGACAGTGTTGTTGCAACTGCAGGAGAACAAACAGTGGGAGGTCAGACATGGTGCATTGCTGGGCATCAAGTATTTGTCTGTTGTAAGACTGGATCTTATGTCAATCATTCTACCTCGTATACTTAATGCTGTCACACGTGGACTGAGTGATCGCGATGATGATGTGAGGGCCACGGCATCCGAGACCTTTCAGCCCTTGGCCAAAGAACTGGTTCAGAATCATCCGGATCACATACAGGAGATATTATCCATTCTTTGGGAGATCCTGTTGGAGCTGGACGACCTGGCCGTGTCAACATCGAGCGTGTTGAACCTGCTGGCAGACTTTTACACGTTCCCCGAGGTGCTGCCTGTCCAATCTGGTGACAACAACAACAACAACATGTCACACTTCCAGACATCACACCTCACTCAGTTGGTGCCTCGTCTCTACCCATTCTTCCGCCACGCACTGTATAGCGTGCGATTGTCGGCCATACGAACGGTCGAGCGACTCATCACTTCGAGCCCGGTGGTCGACCACAACACACACTGGCTGGTACCCATCCTCTCTGATCTCTTACGATACATCTTCCAAAACATCCTGTTGGAGGAGAGGAAGGACATTGTAGACATCTCACTCAAGACATGGCAGCAGCTCGTCAGCAGCTTCAACCCATCCATCCTGCGATCGGCCACACTCTCGCACCTGATACAATGGATCACACTACTCTCCACGCAGCCTGGAACACCAATCAACAGCAGTCTCTTGTTGACCACATCATTCTCATCATCGTCCACCTCCACTACCAGCACATCCAACACAAAGATGGAGATTGGCACCGTAAAGCGTGGACGTCTATCCAAGCAACAGCAACAGGCCAATGAAGCTGGTGCACGCATTGTCAAGGAGAGTTACCTGTCCACCAGGTCCAAGGTCATTGGTGCATCGGCCATCGGCATGATTATCAAGACATGGCCATCCGAGTACATCCAAGAGATACAAGGACTATTCTCCAACATGATCCAGTCGACCTCGGCAATCCAACAACATTTGGCATCACTCATACTCTCTGAATCATACATCAACAACAACAACAACAACGATTGCAAGACGACAGTGAACAGTGGTGTCCCTTTGACAGAACCAATGATCCAGGCATTGACTGCCGCGCTGGATGTGGCCGACCCCACATGGTACTACTACGAGACCGACACGATCATCAAGAGCAAGTTGGCGGCCGACGCCAAGGTCTTGTCTCAAAGCATATGCAACACTGGCATTGACTTTCGCGTGGAACTGCTCATGCAGTTGAGCAAGGATACGACACCACCCGATCAGATACTGCCCATGTCGTTGGAGCTCGTGTCAAACGTGTACACATACTGCATTGAGAACATCAAGAACCTGATCCCCACCAGTGTCAAGTCGGGCCTGATCGATCAACTGGAGGGTCGACGCAAGACCATCTTGTCAACAGTGGGCTACATCGAAAAGCTACAGAAGGAACTGCACACATGTGTGTTGGCAGCCTACGACGGCCTGTTGATCGCATCCAACAACATCCCGGCCAAGGTTACGCCAGTCATCAGATCACTGCTACACTCAATCAGAAATGAGGAGGACGAAGTCTATCAGAATCGCACGTCGGCGTCGCTGGCGCACTTTATCGAGCGATGCGTAACGAGGAAGCCTTGTCCCAATGACAAGGTAGTCAAATCGATGTTCTCGGTGCTCTGTGAGGACCGCACTCAAACACCCTTGGCCAGCGATGGCGTGGATGGCAAGTCCGACGACGACGCCAATGGCAAGAGTGCTGCCGAGAGCGATGAGATCAAGATCGCCCGTCTTGGACGTCGTGGTGCGCATGAGTTCTTCACATCAATGTCGAAGCGCATGGGCGCCCAACTATTCACAAACATACCCTCATTCATGGCATTGATGACACAGAACTGTGTGCAAGTTCACCAAGAGACGCAGTCGGACAACTTTGACGCGATCAAGAACAATGTGGAGCGACTCCAGACATTGATCGACGAGCTTCAATTGCTCAGGACAGTGCTGCCCTCACTGGACGCCTCATTCCACACAATGCTGAACGATGTCATACCCATTGTCTTTCACTTTATCAAGACGCCCAACACATCTGTGCAGTGGATGGCGTCCAAGACCATCGCTCAACTCTGTCGTACGATAACACTCAGCTCAATGCACTACCTCATCTACAATCTGTTGCCACTGCTTGGTGACAGCAGGTCCATTGTCAATCGCAGTGGCGCCATCACCACTCTGCTGCAGGTGATCAATGAGATGGCCATGGAGATCGTGCCCTACATCGTCTTCCTCACAATCCCCGTCCTGGGATGTATGAGTGACCAGGACACCACGCTGCGCAAGAAGGCATCGCTGTGCTTTGCCAAGTTGGTCAAGCTGATGCCTTTGGAGCCGGGCGTGCCCAACCCGCCCGGCCTGGACGAGCGACTCGTGCTGCAGAAGCTAGAGGAGCGAAAGTTCTTGGAGCAGCTGCTGGATGGATCAAAGGTGGAGCAGTATCCACTGCCCATCCGCATCAACACTGAGCTGAGGAAGTACCAACAGGACGGTGTCAACTGGCTCGCCTTCCTCAACAAGTACAAACTGCACGGCATCCTCTGTGACGACATGGGTCTGGGCAAGACACTGCAGGCGATCTGCATCATGGCTGGCTCAGACTATGACCGTCGCGTCAACTTTGCCGCCAAGGGCACACCCAACTTCCAGCCCCTGCCCTCGCTGGTCGTGTGTCCATCGACATTGGTCGGCCATTGGTACTACGAGATCAAGAAGTTCTGCGACTCTACCATGAGTCCGATGACATACATGGGCTCGCCAAGTGAGCGCGCAGCACTTCGTCGCAAGTTCAAGGACCACAACGTACTGATCATGTCCTATGACATTGTTCGCAATGACATTGATCATCTGGGCGAGATGAACTTCAACTACTGCATCCTGGACGAGGGCCACATCATCAAGAACGCCAAGACCAAGCTGACGCAAGCGGCCAAGCAGCTAAAGTCCAACCATCGTCTCATCCTCTCGGGTACGCCAATCCAGAACAATGTACTCGAGCTCTGGTCGTTGTTTGACTTCTTGATGCCTGGCTTCCTGGGCACCGAGAGACAGTTCGATGACCTATACAGCAAGCCGATCCTCGCGAGCAAGGACCCCAAGTGCACTCCCAAGGATCAAGAGGCCGGTGCCCTGGCAATGGAGGCGCTTCATCGTCAGGTTCTGCCATTCCTGCTGCGACGTCTGAAGGAGAACGTGCTGCACGACTTGCCACCAAAGATCATCCAGGATCGCTATTGCAAGCTCTCTCCTCTCCAGATGAGACTATACGACGACTTTGCAAAGACTCACTTCAAACAAGGCATGAACCAGGAGATTATGGACGACGACGATGACCAAGACCAGGATGAAGACGACGAGTCATCATCGTCAGGAAAGAAGAAGGGCAAGTCATCAAAGAAGGCGGCACCAGCAACACATATATTCCAAGCATTGCAGTACCTCAGAAAGCTGTGCAGTCATCCTCAGTTTGTGCTCAATCAGAATCATCCACAGTACAACGCCATCACCAAGGAGCTCAAGGCGGCCAAGTCGGATATTCGCGACATTGAACACTCACCAAAACTTCAAACACTCAAGGAGTTGTTGCTCGAGTGTGGCATTGGCGTGCAACAGACGTCTGCGTCATCATCGTCCAACGCCAACGAGGCACTCAGTCAGGAACCCATCACCACACAACACAGAGTCTTGATCTTTGCCCAGATGAAGTCAATGCTGGACATTGTGGAGTCGGACCTGCTCAAGGTGCACATGCCGTCCGTCACCTATCTGAGGATGGACGGCACGACTGAGGCCATGAAGCGACAAACGATTGTCAATCAATTCAACGCAGATCCAACAATCGATATCCTGTTGCTGACGACACATGTCGGAGGACTGGGTCTGAACCTCACGGGAGCAGACACTGTGATCTTCCTCGAGCACGACTGGAACCCAATGAAGGACCTACAGGCAATGGATCGTGCACATCGCATTGGCCAGAAGAAGGTGGTCAGTGTCTATCGTCTAATCACCACAGGCACACTCGAGGAGAAGATCATGGGTCTGCAGCGATTCAAGCTCAACATTGCCAACACGGTGGTCAACCAGGAGAACCAGAGTCTTCAAACAATGTCCACAAACGAATTACTCAACTTGTTTGATTACAACGATGACGAATCATCCAAGGAGTCGTCCAACGATGGTGGCGTAAACAATCTTGGACAAGTGGAAAAGGCCAACAAGGGAGGACTCAAGAGTGTACTGGCAACGATTGGCGAACTCTGGGACGAGTCACAGTACACTGAAGAGTTTGACATCAACAACTTTATTAGTTCATTAAACTGAGCTCATTTCACATTAATCAATATTATATAATGTCTAATGGATAATAATTTTGTAAAAAATTCCCTGAATCTTCTTTGTGTGTAACTGGATGCGCACCCAAACATTCCGGAATGGGGCTTTTCTTTTTTATTATAAAGTTTACTCAAGTTTCCAGAGTTTGCACGATTGAGGAGAATGATAATTTGAATTGGAAAAAATGAAGTACGTCCAGGAGTATCCAAACAAGAGGTACGCACACTTAGAATAAATTCAAGGGGTGATTGACCATTCATTGTTTACATGTAAACAACAAATAGTCCATTGAACAATTAACTCATAGTTTATCATGACCTCAGTCTTTGGATACGAGACTGAATCATCATCATATTCAACTCTAACAATGACAGCCAAGAGAAGAAACTCAGCACAGGGTCAGAGATCAAAGACAAAGAAGGCAAAGAGTACAGTACAACAGGGGCAACCAGTTAATCAAGTTGTAAACAACGCCCAACCACAAGACTCTCCTCAAGAAGATCATCACCCATGGGAGTCCGCAATCAAGCATCTAAGAGAGGTAAATCTACGATCATCTATTTATACTTGTCTACATACAACTAACATATAGAAAGACCAATCTCAATGCACATAGGAGAACCGATGGTGATGAGAGGGACAGAGTGGAGCTTCAGCCATACACAATCGCTGAGAATGTGAAGCTGGAGGTGTTTCTATTAAGACACGAGCACAATCTTCTTGGAGGTTTGAAGAATCTACTTGCTTATGTCGATGGATCGGTTCTCATCTATGAACTTGATATCTCCGAGGCCCACGATGTACTTGCTGATTGGTTTTCAATCGTCTGGGTTGGAGCCAATGCCAACATTCGTCGACGTCTCCAAGGAACAGCTGGCTTTGATCTCACAATTGCTCCCAACTTGGTTCAACAGGCCGACAGATCGTTCAGACCAAGGAATCGAACAGGAATGCCGGCCAATACTGATGGTGCCCGATTCCCAACGATTGTAATCGAGGTCGGAGTGTCATCGTCTCTCGCGTCACTTCACACAAAAGCCCAACGTTATCTTGGTGGTGGCACTGATGTGCAGATCGTGTTGTGCATTTCTGTGTGGCCGAGACGAGACAACAATCTGCACAACTTCCAAATGGTGGCCCTCCTCTACCTTCGCGATCATTCGGTGATGCTCCCACAATTGGTCGTGTCCTTTGGAAGTGCTGCACTTCATTGGGAAACGCTTAACTCAATTCAAAGCTTCTTCGAAGACGAATGGAACGCAAGGCGACCGATCCCGGGACCTGACGGTGCACCAATTGTACCTCCTGCTGCGCCCGCTCAGCTTCCAGAATTCCCACCTGCTGGATTCGTCTATCCCATTCATGGACATCTCAATGCAGCTACAGTGCCCCCTGGTGTCCCCCCCAACCCAGTTTATATTCTCCAAGTAAGTGTTCATCTCTTTATACATACCCGAGCCCATTGCTAATTTGAATATTTAGATCCCAACAGCCAGTCTGTTCCATGGGGTCCCTGGAATGGTCCTTGCTGCAGGTGGGCAAGTGTTTCTGCCAGCAATCAACCAAGCTGAAAATCTAGCCTTGGGTATTCCTGCCCTGAATCTTCCCGCTGTGAATCTTGATCCCACAATTCCTTTGGACCTATTAGACCTGCGACCCGAGTTGAGTGGTATCCAATTTTAATAGTTTCTGGTGTTCACTAGTGTTATTATACATAAATATTATCTTCACATTATGGAGAGGTGGAAAGAAACGAGCATTTTTTTTTTGAGTTTTTTTTGAGTTTGAATGTTGGGTATCATTTATTGGAACATTGAGGGACCAGTAAATTGGCTCGTCAGTTAAGGAGCATCGCCTTTTTTTTTCTCCATCAAAAAAAAAAAAAATGTAACATGAGGAACTTCCAGAGTCGAATGATTCGTTTTCCAAAGTGTTTTGATGTCGCTTCGCGCACTCAATCACTTCATTCGTTCATTCATAGACAGTGGGTCTTCAATTACTAACTGTCATACTCTCAAGGTATGTCCTCTTGGTTACACCAATCATTATATATATAAATAAATAAGTTTATATTAGATTCGTTCATTCATAGACAGTGGGTCTTCAATTACTAACTGTCATACTCTCAAGTGAACGTTCAATAATATTAAGAGTACATCTCTTTATATTAAAAAAAATTACAAAAAGGTCGCTCCTGGTTGGGATCGAACCAACGACCGTTCGGTTAACAGCCGAACGCTCTGCCGACTGAGCCACAGAAGCTGATGTTCTCTAAGACATGTTTCCCCGGTTTTATCGGTATTTCCAGGAGCGTTTTTTTCTTTGTGTTTATAGTCATTTAATACACTTTTAAATCGATGGATATCTTTAATTAATGATTGGGAAAACCTCAAAATGAAATGGAAAGTTAAATTAAACTATTGATTAAGTTCACCAAAAAAGGAAGTGCTCACACATAGTTGCTCATTTACCAATTAGATAATTAATTAATACATATAATATAAAGAATGACAATACAATATCCAGTAACAAGAAGAGATGACAGTGTCAGTGACACATTCAAGTCTGCTGCTGGTCCAGCAAAGGTTGTCAATGATCCCTATCGCTGGCTCGAGGAACCATCATCCGATGAGACAAAGGTATGCACGCATGTCACAAGTGCCTCATCTGCTCAATCACTCACTCACTCACCAATCAATCAATCAACCAATCGACAATTCAAGGCATGGGTCGAACAACAGAACAAGGTCACAACAGAGTACTTGTCAAAGGATGGTGATTTGACAAAGAGACTTGAGAGTGAGTTGATGGAGAGGATCAACTTTGCAAAGTTTGGTTGGACAAGGAGAAGAGGAGACAGATTGTTCTTTGATAAGAACCCGGGTCTTGCCAACCAGTCGATCATTTACATGGCCGACGCGAATGACCCCTCCAAAGAGGCCGTCCTGCTCGATCCCAACCAGTTCTCAACTGATGGCACATGGTCTCTGAGCAGCATGTCCATCTCGCGCTCGGGAAAGTTGGTCGCCTACGGTTACTCAAAGGGTGGCTCCGACTGGGTCACCTTGAAGGTGTTGCGCGTGCCCGATGTCATTGGAGGTCCGGTCGAGATCCTCGAAGACACCATCGAATGGGTCAAGTTCTCTTATCCAGAGTTTGATGAGAAGGAGCAGGGCTTCCTCTATGCTCGCTTCCCCGAGAACAAACAATTGAGTGCCGATGAGAAGGGTACAGAGACCGACAGCAATATCAACCAAAAGATGTACTACCATCGCATTGGTGAGCAACAGAGTCAGGACACACTGGTCTACCAGTCCACCACCAATCCCGAGTATCTCTTTGGCGGCAACTTCACCAATGACAACAAGTACCTCATGGTTCACATCTCCAAGGATTGTAATCCAGAGAGCAACCTATCGATCATCACAAACTGGAACCAAGTGATCTATGACAAGACGGGTATGTGCGATGTGACGAGATGGAAGTTGACAACACAAACTAACGATCGACCATCCCACGCCAAACAGAGACTGAGTTCAAGGAGATTAAGTTGATCACCAACTTCAACGCGAGCTACAACTATCTTCACAATGTTGATGGCAAGTTCTGGTTCCACACCAACTTGAACGCGCCAATGAATAGAGTGATCACGATCGATCTACCGGCGAAAGAGGGCGATGCATTGAACATCACAGAGGTGATCAAAGAGCGTGAGTACCTGAATCAGTACGCTCACTACACAAGCCAGAAGTTGTACGTAGTGTTCCTTCGTGATGTTCAAGACGTTGTTGAGGTGTTTGAGCTCCATGGCAAGCTGATCAGACCACTCCCACTGCCAGCACCCGGATGCATTGGCAGTCTTGGAGGTCTACACGACTCGCCACACATCTACTTCAGCTTTGAATCATTCACCTATCCCAAGACATCATTCTACCTCAACACCAACGATGATGTGATGTCTGTGTTCAGAGAGCCAAACATAAGTATGTATATTAGAGTGGCGTGTCTTGGCATGCAGTGGAATGATCCCAACTAACCAATCACACCTTGGTACAACAGAGAACTTTGTACCAACAGACTATGAATGCAAGCAAGAGTTCTATCAATCAAAGGATGGCACAAAGATACCAATGTTCGTTGTACACAAGAAGAACTTTGTTGCTAATGGACAGGCACCAGTCTTCCTCACTGCCTACGGAGGCTTTGAGTACCCCTACTCTCCAGCCTTCTCACTCAACCTTATCTTCTTTGTCGACAAGTTCAACGGTGCCTTTGTCGTGGCCAACATCAGAGGAGGGTAAGTGATCTCAACCAATCGTTCAATCAATCAATCATACTCACGTCACCATCCATCAATCAAACAAACAGAGGAGAGTATGGAAAGAAGTGGCATGATGCTGGACGTCTTAAGAACAAACAGAACTCTTATGATGATATTGCAGCTGGAGTGGAATACTTGTTTGAGAAGAAGTATACGTCGGCGGATAAGTTGACGATCAATGGTGGCTCGAATGGTGGACTGATGGTGGCCGCATGTACCAATCAGCGCCCTGAACTATTTGGATGCTGCATTGCTGATGTTGGCGTGTTTGACATGCTCCGCTTCCAAAAGTTCACGATCGGACGTCATTGGGTCAGCGACTATGGATGCAGTGATGAGCCCGAACAATTCGACACGTTGATCAAGTACTCCCCACTGCACAATGTCAATGCCAACAAGAAGTATCCACACGTGCTGTTGGTCACTGGTGATCATGACGATCGTGTCATCCCTGCGCACTCCTACAAGTACATCTCAGAGCTGCAGTATCAACGTGGAAACAAGCCCGATCAGACTGATCCACTACTCATCCTCGTGGATGTTCAAGCTGGACATGGAGCAGGCAAGCCACTCAGCAAGAGAGTGCATGAGTTCTGTACCAAGCTTACCTTTATCTCAATTGCAACCAAGTCCAAACCAAACTAAATATACAGTAAACTGTCTACCTCTCTCTTGTGTCCATTACCGTATCCAATGATTTGGAAACAAATTCAATGAATTGATCAAACATCCATTTTTAGACATTTGGATGGACATGTGATGAGAATGATTACATGACAAGTCATTCCATTTGAACAACAATTGATATTAAGTAGTTAGAATGGATTATAAATCATCAGAGTTTAGTCTTAGCAATGAGACATTGACCAAGGTGAAGGAAGGTAATGAAGCCTCACTCAATCATTCAAAGTGTATACCATTCCAATCAAACAAAGGATTCCTCTTGGAAGGTATATTCACCAAGATTGAATGTGAAGCAATGTTGAACAACATCAAAGAGATCCAAGCAGAGAAGACCCGTGGATATGACAAAGATCATGTACGTGATCCCTCAATCATTCATTCAAACCTTACTCACTCACTCAATCAATCAATATGATTAGGGAATGCGTACTGTTAATGTATCCAAAGAACTGGCAGAGATACTACAATCAAGGGTGGAATCATACTTGCCAAAGATAATAAGGAGACCACCAGCAGCAATCATTAATGATCAAACTGATGACATTGATTGGCATTACAAGTGTGTCTCCGACAAGTTCAAACTGATCAGTTACGAGGTGGGACAGAACTTCCCGCCACACTTTGATGGCGGACGCAATGTTGACAACCAACACATGTCATTGCTATCGGTGCTCGTCTATCTCAATGATGGTGGCGCACAATCATACACTGGCGGTGACTTCCGCTTCCTCAAGAAGAATGGTCCGGAACAATACTCTGTCCTGGAGAGTGTCGTGCCCTATGCCGGTCATGTCATTGTGTTCCCTCATGGTACACTCCATGACAGCACGGCCATCACCAATGGTGTCAAGTATGTGATCCGAACAGATATAATGTATGGCGTCTAAGTTCTTGCTTGGCCTTAGCCTCGAGGCCCAAGACACCTAATGTACCATAAACTGATTGATTGTCATCCACTCATTCTACTTTAATAACGAGGATGTGGCTTATAGTATTCCCCATTGCTTCTCGAACACTGTTGTCAACTTGAAGCACGCACCAGCGGCACTGAGTGGGTAGTTGGAGAATGCAATCTCCTCGTGGTTGTAGTCGATCTTGACCGAGCCGGTGGACATGGCCCCAATGACAATGGCGCATTGCTGAAGACCATTCAACTTGTTGTCTATCTTTAGTTTCTTGCCCTTGCCTGTTGTTGATGTAGTTGATGTGGTGGATGTTGTTGCCTTTCTCTTCTTTGATGATTGATCGTCTTGCTCGCTGCTGCCCTTTACATTATCGATGCCCTCTATGTAGCTGTCACCTGCACTGCGCACCTCGTTATCATTATCCTCCTGGTTCTCAGGCTCTGCACTGACTGGGATGACTGGCAGTGGGGCGTAACCAAACTGCTCAGGTACCCAATCAAACAGATCTACACACTTTGTAGCAGAGAATGATGCCACTGATTGTTTGATTGATTGATTAGTATCACGTATTGTTGGAGTTGGTGATGACGATGATGACACATACGGAACACCTTGCATCCTGGTGGGAGGAAGTCTGTGACTGGGTTCTTGATGACCTTGAACAACTTGTCAGGTCCATTTGTTGCTCTAATACTCAGTTTATTCAGTAGTTGCACTATGTTGATTGATTGTTTGATTGTTTGAACGAGTAAGTATGAATGAGTGAATGAGTGCCGCGCGATGTAAACATACCCATCAAACCAGCAAACCTGTGGAATGTTCTTGGTATTCTTGTCTGTGGATGTACTTCGATCAATACGTTCTTTGTCGTTCTAATGTAACATTGGAGCAGACCAGCCTTGTTGAGGGGACTGTCAAACAATGCCAATAGACATTGATGAAGGATATCTGGACGTGCCTCTGATGCCTCTCTCTTGAACTTCTTTAAAAAGTCAGCATGGTCATCACAGTTTAGCAATTGATAGTTGTCCTTGACCTTAACAGTCTCCAACGTAGCATGCTCCAATATAATAATCAGCTTCTTCTGGTCCTTCACAGGTAAGTCCTTCTGTTTAATTGCTATTGATGTTGCTGACATTATAAATGTTAATATATATATTTATGTTTATAAAGATTAAAGATAATAAGTGTTTGTTTGAATGATCAACCAACCAAACTTTCGTTCGTTTCTCAACCAAACTATATTTTTGATTTGTTTTGTTTTTTTTATTCAAAATATAATCATTTTTAAATTATTTACTCTCATTATTATTATAATACTACTCATTAGATAATATATTATCTGTATCTTTAACTTATTTATTTGTTGGGATGACGTTTTGAATGAACTTCGGAAGAGATCTTGTGGTTTACCCCATTATTTTCTTTATTTTATTTTATTTTAATTCAAAATGTAATGAATGATACCCCAACATCAAGTTCACATGACCCCCACTCAATCTGAAACAACACCAGCTAGCTCGTTCCGTTCAAGTTCACTCAACTCATACTTCACTAAACACTTCATCCTCTCACAGAGCATATATTATCTAAACATAAACAGTTAATTAATACACACAATGGCCAACCCAAGAGTCTTCTTCGATATTGAGTCCAACGGAAAGAACCTCGGACGTATCATCTTTGAGGTATGATCAACAACATCAACAACATCCAATAACAACATCGAAACAAACATACTTACTAATATTATTATTATTGTTATTGTTATTATTATTAGCTGCACGCTGATGTCGTCCCAAAGACCGCTGAGAACTTCAGATCTCTCTGCACTGGTGAGAAGGGTGTCGGCAAGTCTGGCAAGCCACTCCACTACAAAGGATGTGTCTTCCACAGAATTATCCCCAACTTCATGATCCAGGGAGGTGACTTCACCAAGGGCAACGGCACCGGTGGTGAGTCCATCTACGGTGAGAAGTTCAACGACGAGAACTTCAAGTTGAGACACACCACCCCAGGTCTCTTGTCCATGGCCAACGCTGGTCCAAACACCAACGGTTCCCAGTTCTTCATCACCACCGTCGAGTGCGCCTGGTTGGATAACAAGCACACCGTCTTTGGAAAGGTCATCGAGGGTATGAACGTCGTCAAGGCTATGGAGAGCAAGGGCTCCCAGTCTGGAAAGACCGCCGAGAAGATCCTCATCTCCGACTGTGGTCAGCTCTAAATCAACCCCAGTAGTAGTAGGCATCATCCCCCTTTTCTTGTCAATGTTGAAGCCAAGCCTGAGGCCGTCTGTATCCAATTACAGGATACACTAGACGTTGTTTAAATAAATTCCAGTGTTGACAAGGTACCCCTTTTTCAAACAGATTGTAGATTGACTCAAAGTCTATTCAATATGCTATGTACGAATGTTCTGTCTTGTCCTGTCCTGTGTCAATTCCGGCAAGGGCGATCATGGTCTCATCGATCACGTAAGTCAAGTCATTCATACATTCATTCATTCAGCCAGCTGTGATCAGTAAGTTGAAGGTTAGCAAATGTCCTCGGAAGTGTAGGACAACCATTAATTAGTTCTACAGCTTGGGTCTCGGGTTAAGCATTATGTGTATGTCTAGCCATCATCGAATCACTCTGGGATTGTTGAGTGTAGTTGTGTGCAAAACACAGCTTGGTCTTGTGTTGTGCTGTGTTTGACACAACACAAATTTTTATTCCTTGACTTTGGCAAAGGTTTGTGAGACACTCTCGTTGAACACATGTTCATTTTCATTTTCGAATTCGAATGCACTGCTCGCAAGCACAGACAGAGAAGCACAACACACACAGGACAAGGATGGACAATGGACAAGAGAGAGGAATAGGTGATCGGATCAACATGGACCGTGTCTGTTATACTCACACGTATTCCACATCCACGTCATGACAAATGCACTTGTTATGCTCTTGTACATTGATTGTTGACACCTTGCATCACGACAACATCCACCACCGTTGTCCACCTTGTCAACTAGTTGACAACCAACCATGCATGGTCACACACCCATTCCAAAAAGCCAAGTTCCATCTGTTACAACTAACCTTTTGGTAGTATATCCCTTTGTTTGTTGTTTGTTCAGAAGATATTATCTAATGTCACACAACAAGGTTGTTTGTTAGTTAACAAGATTACTTACATGATATGACCTGAAGGTAGGTGAACTTAATGTTAATGATCTTCAATCACATACACACATACACAAATATTCACTTACATGTTTGACAACAACTTCCACAACATCCACAACTACTACCACACACCTACAACATATTTACCCTTCACATATTAGTACATTCATACATCATACCTGGCAGTTATCATTTATGATTAACTATATTCTAAATACCTTTCCAACTATTATTCATCCATCTATTCTATCTACAACCTTTTGAATCGACCGATCTATTTGTTATAAAGCCCAATACAACCATTACATCTTTAACTTCAGCCAATCAATTAATCAATCAGTCAATCAAGGTTGACACAATCCATTGTCAATCAAACACAAGTAAGGCCTCCATTATCCCCAATAACATTAATGGTAAACATTATAATATATACATCAAACGAATGAACGAAAGAACGAACGATTGTTATTTGAATAGACCAGGGACATTGGGTCTCTTACGTGTCATGCCAAGTCCGAAATATACGACTCGTCAACTCAATTCAATTCACACGACCTTTCGACCCTTCGATCTTACATCGGAACACACACTATACTTTACTCGTTTCTTTTAACAATCATGAGGTGATCGGTCGTCTTCAGTCCAATCAATCGACATCTGATCAGATGTTGCACAGCATTACCTAATTTGTCGATTCAAAGACCATGCCCTATGCTCTTGTGCTCTCCACATGTTCACCATTCAATTTTGAACTCATCACATACACACCACCACCACAAACACAAAGAGGTCCAATTCATTGAAGGACCACACATTGGGCTCTCTGATCAAAACACACACACTGTTTCACCCACTCACTTCACACTCACAATCACACACATACTCCATGAATGACTGGTGATGGGTGATGGTTCCGATGCTCTGTGGTGCTCACAGAGTCTTTTTCAAAAAACAGGACACCCCCTGTGTGCATCACCATGGGTGCTGTGTCGCTCACACCATCCACAAAGGACATCGATCAAAGAAGTGATGCATGCAAGCAACTTCTGACTGAATGAATGACCCGTCGACATCATCGAACCAATCAATCAATCAACCAGCACTACCACCAAACTAAGGCAAAGGACATTCATTCTCCAGTTGTCATTGTTGTCAAATCTGTCATTGTAATTATTAATTACATCATTATTTATTATATCTGTCTGCCATTGTGTATGTGTGTATACTTATTCCACATCCATTCATACAAAGGTAAGTCATGGTCCACTCACTATATCATCACCATCAATCACATTATTATTGTTGTTATATATATTCGACCAATAACTCATAATGTTGAGTCATTAATTGTCCACGTCTGATCGTTGTCACTCATAGTGATTGATTGATCAGATAGTGTTTGGAAACCACCCATTGATGGAGTTTCTCATTTTTCCAACATTGAGACAACTCATTCATTTACTCACACACTCAAACACATCATTCCCATAATGTAAATCGTTTCAAACAACTCCTTCCTTCCCTCATCAACATCATAATACATCAATCAATCAATCAATCAATTCATGTTATATTACAAGGACCTTAACTAACTCTAAATTCTCTCTTTATTTCTCTTTCTATAATTCAAACAATCAATCAATGTGACGTTTCATCAATCATTATTTTTTTAAAGATTGATTAGGGCCACAGGACCAACCAACACGTACCGCATCACACCCCCCTTTTTTCCCAACCAACCATTCTTCCTTCCTTTTCCAAACATTGCATTTCCAAACAACACCGGTTCAACTCATCATTCAATTGATTAGTAACTAGTTAGTTGTAAGCAATCTTTAACAAATTGTGAGTATCTTACTCAATCATACATGTATCTGTAACACACTCATACTCACTCAATCAATCAATCAACCCATCAATCCAGAATAATATAAAAGGCAATATGTCAAATCAAATGCCTTCCTCCAATTTATCTCCAAACCAACAACACACAAATAATAATATTGCCAGTATGGAGCAACAACAGCAACAACATCCTAGATATCAACTTGGAGTACAGCTGCCACAAGGTCAGCACCAACACCAGCAACACCAGCAACAACAACAACAACAACAAATGATGCATCAGAGTGTTCCACAGCAACAGTCTCCACAGATGACGATGGGCAGTCCTTATTTGGCACCGATGCCTATGATGTCACCGCCATCCACATCACAATTGATCAGACAGAAGATCCTGAGCAAGAGTCAAGGTCCATCCGCAGTGATGGCACCTGGCCACGTCATGCCAGGCTACTTCCACACACCGCCAATGTCTCCAGCACACTCGCCAGTCTACTCCCTGTCCACACCAACCTCATCGGGCACTCCACAATCACCCCCATTCACATACCAAATGGATCCATCATCCTTCCGTGCTCAAGACTCTCCAATGATCAACTACGTCCCAATTCCATTTGCTTCGCCAGGTATGTATTTCCAAAAAAGGAAATGATTGGAACCATTCCAGCCTCATACTAACACTCAATCAATCAAATATTTAGATATGTACGCAGGATATCCACAAGGATACTATTACCAACCACATCCTTATGCAGTCCAACAAGGTGGATGGGTGGGAGGATATGATGGCGTGGGCATACCATCGACACCAATATATAGAGATTTGCTGGAGGGCTCACCATTCAGTCTTTCAGACCTCAAGTTAAAGCCAGCCAACTTCCCTGCCTCCAAGTTGATCATTGGCAAGTGGGAGGTATCCGCCACTTTGCCCACCGAGATCACCGTCAAGTTCTACTTCACCAAGAAGCAGATCGTCTGGGAACTATTCCGAGGTACACTCAAGAGCAAGATAGTCATCTGCTTCACAGACATCACTGCCATGGTGTAAGTACATTCATTTCCCTCAATCAGTCGGTCGATGGAGCCATTCCACTAACACTCAATCAATCATGGAATGTAGTGTCGAGAGTTTGAATGATGAGTCAGTGACTATGACAGTGGAGATATCAAAGCCACCAAAGTTCTACAAGGAGATCAATCCACAGCCAAAGAAGAATACTATGTGGGGACCAAGCGCAGACTTTACAAGGGACTGCCAGGGCTCGACTTATAGACGCCACACACTACACATAAAGAGGAGCGCATTGGTCAAGAACCTGGAGAAGCTGCGCCAGTCCGACCAGAAGCTGAGGAACCTGCTCATGTCCAACAGATTCACCACCAACGATATATTTCTGCCAGGCGAGAATCCCGATGCGCCAGACTATGTCTACGCATCCAAGGAGCAGACCGAGTCCCAGACCACCGGCCACCACGCTGCCACTGCCGGCGACAAGGAGTCTGCTGAGGGCGGCCACAACATGACCAAGGAGGAGATGATGATGGCCAGGGAGAACGCTGATTTCAAGTCACCAAGCTCGCCAGCGGAGCACAACGACTCTTCGCCAGAGTCCAACCCATCGTCCGAGTACATCGAGGACTGCACGACCACAACTACAACCACCACAATGACCACGACCACCAAGCAATCGTCTCCATCAGCCGCCACAACTACATTATATCATCACACAACACCCTACCAGAGTCTGTTCAATATGAATGGCGACTACCAGTATACTCCATCATCATCATCGACCGTGGCGATTGCCGTGCCAGCCGCACCCGTTAAGGTGGTGGACACCAGTTCCTGCGCCGCGGCCAACGCATACCTTGGCAACCAGAGTGCCAGCGGATCGCCACCCGGTGTTGGCGTGCCACACAACAACATGATCACGACGTCCACCATCACAACGACTACCACTACCACCTCGGTGGGCCTGCCCGACCTCAAGGGTGAGGGTGGTTTGATTGGCGACTGCTATGCCGAGCCGATTGGCAATGTCCCCACACCCGTGGTCACCATGGAGTCAGTCCCTCCACCTGGCAGCCAACTCATGTCACAGCCATTATACTACATTCCTCAACAGCAACAGCAACCTCAGCAGCAGCAACATCAACAGCAGCAACTCTTTAACAACACAATTTTCCAACAACAACAAACTCCTCTTCCTCTTCAGAGCCAGATGATCTCATCATCTTGCAACAACATCAACATCAACACATCGATCAATGCACCGACACACCTTTCACCAATGGACATGCAACAGATGTCCGCATCCACATCATCCTATTTCCAACAACCAAACATCCAACATCTTCAACAACAACATAATACATTATATCCACCTCAACAACATCAACAACATCAACAACAACAACAACAACAACAACAGTATTCGTCACCTCAAGATCTTTCACCAAACATTAACATTACATCATCACCATCTTCATCATCATCGAGCAAACCAACATCACCTAGTCTAAGACATCATCCATATTCTCCCAGTCAAATGACCAATAGTCAACGACATCCCAACCTCCAATAGTTAGTCAGTCTAGTAGTCTAGTTTTGTAATAAATGTTATCTGTTCTTGAACATATTCTATCGAGTGCGTGTCATTCATTCACTGCCAGGGCTGCCTAACTTGTCAACCAAGCAAGCCAACTCAACCAGGCTATGCATGTCTTGCTCCCACTCTTCACTTTTGCCCAGTTCAGTTGAGTGAGTGTGCGTGAGATTCTTTCCTTTGAAATGTCTAAAATTAAAAATAATAAATTAAAACAAAACTAAAATGATCATGCATCCTGTTTGTGTGAGCGGGGTATCGTGTGTGTTTGACGATCACAGTGTCAATGTATCCAGGGCATCATTGATATCATAACATAACATCTGAAAGAGTCGTGCATTTGTTCAATCAACCCTTGCCCTCCTCGACTTGTTTGTTTGACACATCACATTACATCTTATTTGTTATTTATAATATATATATATATATATATATCTTATTCTTTATTTTCATATACAGACAATAACAGGATAGAATGAGATTCGAAGAGGACTTCCAAAACCACACTGCCAATGGTATAAAGTCTGCCGAAGCAAACTTCCGCGAGAAGGTTGCCGGTCGTCAAGTACCATGGTCAAGACATTGTCGCTCAGGCTTCATCACAACAGAGGAGTACGAGCTCATTGACAAATACGATAAGAAGCCAGAGCCAGAGAAGAGAGCTATCTTTTTGAATGTAAAGTGTTCAAAGTTCATTCACTTTCATTCATTCATTATTCACACTTCACATCCGTGAAGTTGAGTGAATGTGCGAGGAGAGATGAAGAGAAGAGATAGAGATGATATACTTACACAATGACTGCTTGTTAACTTTGGATATTATAGGAGGGAGAGAGATTGTCTAGATTCTTTGTTGACTTTTTGAACAAGGTCGCTGATTTGGAGACCGTTCAATATGTCCTATACTTGATCAACGAGATCATTAGCAGTAAGTCGACTAAAGGATTGATTGATGGATGATACAGAGTACAGTTACCAACACAACAATTATGTTAAACAAACAACTATAGTTGAACCAAAGGCATTGGCTCAGTTTGCCAAGTTGTCAAAGGAGGACGACCCAGAGTACCCACTGATGACATTCTTTAGAATGACTGGCCGTGAGGATAACAATGCTTACGTCAATTTGCTCACTGGTAGAATCATGGGTAACTTGATGTCGGTCACCGCGCCACAGAAGAAGGATCTGGAGCGCTTTGTCAACTGGACACTGCCACTGCTGCGCAAGACAGAGTCCCGCGAGGTCGAGGTCGCCTTGATCGCCCTGCAGCCATTCTTTTTGAAAGAAGACAACAGAGTACTCTTTATCTCTCTCAATGGACCAGAGCAGTATGTAGTAGTAGACTAACTTGTAGATCGATGAATGATGAAAATCTTACTCACTTACTCGTTCATTCATTCAACAATAGCTTGACAGACATCCTGTCAGTTCAATCGACATCCTCCACTCCAGTGCTCTCATTGCTCTATGAGGCCTTATATGCATTTTGGTTGCTGTCCTACAACGAGTCGTTCGTCAAGTGGGTCTCTGGCAAGCACGTCATCTCCAACCTCGTGTCAATCATCAAGGCCATCACCAAGGAGAAGATCGTTCGTTTGGCCATCTCATCCCTCAGAGTAAGGATAAGGATATACAACAAGTCTCATATGTCCAACTCACTCACTCTATCCAATCAATCAACAAATCATTTAGAACTTGCTTGGACATGGTGACAACAATGAAGAGATGATCGAGTGTGGATTCGTCCGCATGTTGAACTTCCTTAGCAACAAGAAGTGGGGAGATCAAGACATTGTCGACGATATCTCAACCCTGTCTGAGACATTGTCACAGGATATCGCTAGAATGAGGTAAGAGATTGGATGATGATGATGAAGTTCCAGGTTTCCATGTTTGATCAACTATACTAACAACCGATCATCAAACAACAAACAGTTCATTCGATAAATATAGAGCAGAGGTGTTGTCCAAGGAGTTGGAGTGGTCGCCAGTGCACAAGTCCGAGAAGTTCTGGAAGGAGAATGCCGTCCGCTTCGAGGAGAACTCTCACAATGTACTCAAGTTTTTGCACCTTATACTACAAAAGTCCGACAATCCTCTCCACATTTCGATCGCCTGTCACGACCTTGGAGAGTTTGTCCGTTTCCATCCACGTGGAAAGATGTAAGTGATCAAATTCCACACAATATCCAATCAATCCAATCCTAACAATCAAACAATATAGTATCATCGAGACACTTGGAATCAAGACCGACATTATGAAGTTGATGACCAATCCAAACGAGGAGGTGAAGAAGCAAGCCTTGTTTGCTCTGCAGAAGATGATGATCAACAACTGGGAGTACCTTTCATCAAAGTAAACCTGCCAGTATCATTACCTGGAATGACCATCACCACCATGCCTGCCAGAGATAGTAGTGCGCGTTCATGAACCTTTCATGCGCGTGTATACAATCAATGGACAACATTACTACATTATATTATCAAACAATCATCATTAAAAGTACTAAATATTAAGTAATAATGTACAGAAAGGGTATAAATAATATATATTTGATGGTATTATGGTATTATAACAATACTCCATGTCCACTACTGCCGCCACCACCTACCAACAATCGATCAAGTAGGTCCTTGACAGAGTTGAGGTGATCCAACAACATTGAACAATCCTTCTCGTCAATCTTGTTGGCTGTGACTGCTCGTTGGATTTGTGTCTCCTTGGCAGTGAGTATCTCCTTGAATGCTTCGAACGCCTTGGGATGTATACATCCGCCAAAGTATATCGATTGGCGTTGTGCCTCCTCGCGAACACTGGCAATCTCCATGATCTTGTTGGAGCAATAACTAAAGTCTTTGGTGCGATCCGCCTGTTCCAGCTCGGTTATGTCCATGCCCTGGTCCCATTCGTCGTCCGTCTCTTTGTAGGCGTCCATCTTTTGTTGACGCTTGTAGGCTGTCCTTGGCGAGATTGAACGTCTGTTGGCAATCTTGTTGACTGGTACGGACAGAGATGCACCAGTGGTACGCGGTGACCTCAGTACGGTGGTCGTGGACGATGTGGATGTCTCTGTCTTGCCCTCCTCCAAAGTTGTGGAGATTGTCGTTGTTGTGATGGTCTGTGGCAAATCAGTAAGATCATCAAAGTCCTTGAATGGGTCGTCATCGTCATCTTCCTGATCAACTTGATCCACTTCCAACTTGTCTTCCACGGGTTGTTTGTTCAAAGACAATGTGAGTAAATTGAGCTTTGGTATACGTGTTGTTGTTGTGGTCATAGTTGTGCCGCTGGTGATCTTGATGGCTGGTTGTTGTTCCAACAGGACACTAACAGGAGTAGCAGGAACAACTGATGATGACGTTGTTGTGGTCGTGGTCGTAGTGAGAAGTGAATCTGACGATGTCTCCTTGGCCAATATAGACGTAGAAGTTGACGATGATGATGTTGTTATACTCTCATCATTGTTGGCCGCCGCCGACGATGTATGAGTTGATATAGTGATTGACAATGATGATCGTTTGCTCTTTGTTGGAGGTATCAGCATGTTGCCAGTGATCGTGTCCCCTGATGAGGATGAGGATGAGGTAGTTGTCGTTGTGGTGGTCATTGAAGTCTTCTTGAGTGCTGGTTGGAGTTGGGCAACACGTACAGGTCGTTGTGGAGATGGTTTGGTTTGAGGTGGTATCAGATGGAAGGTGTGKTGGCTTGGCGTTGTGCGTATGGACTCCATCAATTGGTGTCTTTGATGGTGATGATGTTGGTGTTGCCTTGAGATAGTTGAWTATTGTATATACATGATGGGTTTGATACAAGCGATGCAGTCCGTTGTGCTGGACCGGATCGTTTAAGCAGTGAGAATGGCACTGCTGGTGAACAGTTTGTCTTTGTTGGCGTGGAAGTATATAGATCGGTTGGTTTGTTGCTGCTAGGCAGTGTTGTCTTTTGTACAGTATATGAGTATGGACTTGATTGAGTTGGAGGTGTATGTTGAACTGGTCGCAGCATTGATGGTGATTGTGACATTGGTGTAGCGTTCGTTGACTTGTTACTACTCAGTGGCGATGGTAATGTTGCCGAATGACGTTTCAGTGAGTAAGGCGTTCCATTGGTGGATGATGATGATGTTGATTGTTTAGGTGGCGGTGTAGATGGTGGAGTCACAGCCACAGACTTCTTTAGAATTGGTGATTGTAATGTTCGTGCTCCATTGAATGATGACGGTGATGGTATCCATTGTCTTGTGGTCGTAGTTGTCGTTGTTGTAGTCGTAGTCGTCTTGAATGGGAATGGTGATGGCGCTGGTGTTGGAGGTGTGGCAACAACACCTCCAGACGATGATGATGATGATGTGGACCTGTACGATGGTCCATTTGACTTCAAGTGAAATTCCTTTGCAGTGAAGCATAGCCGACACATTGCCGGCTTCCAAGGGTTCTGTTCAAAGCCAGTGCATTGATGTACATTCGGTACACCCATTGTCAATGAAGTTGAAGTTGTTGATGTTGTTGTTGATGATGTTGATGATGTTGATGATAATGATGATGATTCAGTGTCGATGTTTGATTGACAGTACTTTGGATATGATTGTGTCGCAGCGAGGCTTAGTGTGTAGCGTTCCTTTGTGAACAATGATATGTTGTTGGGAACAAGTTGTGCCTTTGATTGGTACTTCTTTAGTTTGTTATCCAATTCCTCTAAAGTTGTTGTTGTTGATGTTGCTGCTTGTCCATATACCTCTGTTGTTGTTGATGTATCAGTGTTTATGTGATTGGAAAGTTGTTGATTATTGTAACAGAAGTCGCCGCTTATTAGGTTGGTCGTTGATTGATGACTGGTGCCAACAGTGTTATATGTCAAGAGATGGTGTAGGCTATTTTGAAATTGACACCTATCCTTGATAAATGATAATGATGAAAATGATGATGTCTTGCTGATGTTTCCGCTGCTACCGCTGCTGCTGTTGTTGCTGTTTCCGCTGCTACAACCAATGTTGTTGTTGATGTTGGATGATGTTGGTTGTTGAATTAGGTCGTAACCTTCAGCTTCATTAGTACTAATGGTACCTCTTCCTACTTATGTATCATTTTTGGAATATGATTGGTTGGGTGGGTTTGTTAGTTGTTTGTTTGATTGTTTCAACGACATCACGTGGTCGTGATTGAGTGTGTGTTTAGTGTGCTGTTTGATTGATTGATTGGCACGTCTGTGTGTGAGTGTGATTGGTAGTGTCTATAAATATATAACCACGACGAGATTGGTGGCAATGTGGTGGTCTGTTGACAAGTCGATGGATGCCATTGAGCGACGATTTAAAGATGATATTGATAAGTGATCGTCGTTGTTTATACAATCAATCAATCACAGAGTTGTGCAACAAACTATTTGTTGCAACAATAATAAATAGAGTGATTATCGTCATTCGCTTTAAGTGAAGGGTAGGTAATAGTAGTAGTACGTCCACAACAGAGTTTGAATTATATACAAGATGGTACCAACAATGGTACCGAAATGATTGATTGATTGATATGTTATTACTTACTATCAAGAGACGGATGCCAACGAGATAGAACAGGTGACAGTGTCATAATTATTAACTGTTATTTGTATGTATCTATGTATGTGCGTCTTTGAGTGTATCCGTAATTGACTGATTTGTTTGATCAATCAGAATGACATATCAAAATGTATGGTTTTGTTGTGGTCAACAATTGATCCATTTTGCAAATTAATTTTATAATAATTACCAACCGATTCACAGTTTGACCAATCAATCTTTTTTAGATTCTTAGGTAATTGGTCACTGGTATCCAATACACACCAACTTAGACCTTAAGCTCTTCCCTCTCAGGTGAGAGACATAAAGTCAGACCCACACAAATTTTTCATTGTTACTTGTTGCAAATATAAATAAATAAGTTTATATAGATTCGTYMTTCAT